TTCGAGTCCCGTCTGCTGCCTGGCCCGCGTGGAAAATTGTCTAGTAACATTTTCTTAAGATTTAAACATAGAGCCGTTACATGCTTAGAAAATAAAAATTATAAATAGGATACTTACTTAACTTTTGTCGTGAAAGTAGTACTTGAAGGAAGTAGAAAACAGTATTCTAAAGAGTGTACTAACAATAAAATACTGGCACGAAAATACCTAATATTAATCTTTAAACCTGAAATTAAATTTGACAAGAGCGTATCCTTGTCATGCTTTATATACAGTAGCCTTAGCAAGAACCAATATCAAATTCTAATAGTTTGCGAGTCCGAAATGTCATTGTCAAATGTGTACTGATTTTTAGTTCCCCTTGGGTACGTACTTTGTGGCGCCGCTGTTCAAGTTTCCATATAAAATCTGACATTGACATTTCGCACTCGCAAAACTATTCGAATTCGATAATGGTTCGTGCATCGTGCTAGGGGTACTGAATGAAAAGAAGATACTTTTGTCAAAGTTTAGAGAAATCAGACCCAAAATATTATTTAAGGCGCAGACCGAGCCGCGGGCATCCATTCTTTAAACCTACAAAGTATATTTCTAGTCTATTTGTAAACGCTTCAAAACACGCCTGCAGCTGAACTAATTTTGATGGTATTTCTGAGTGCATTCGAGTGGGGCACGAGGTTTTAAATGCAGAACTGAATCCTGTGGTAGCACTGCAGTTGCGCAGGACCAATAGGGTATTTGACAAGTTTTAGAAAACGATCTCATGTTATTGAATGTTTATTGAGTTCGTAAAAAGTAGATATTCATTATTCTGTTGTGTATTTCAGTAAAAATAACCAAATCAAAAACTCCATTTTCATGTTGCCGCGAAAACGTTTCTCTGGACAATATGGCGTCTTACTAGTGTGTGACGTCACACGACTGTTATTAAAACGTCAAACGATACAATGTAATGTCACTTCAACCGGAAGTTTACTTGCGTGTGACGTCATTTTAGACTCCGCCAATCCCAAGCGTTTTAGGTCACGTGACAATAGATAAGAAAACTATTATCTTTTTCGTTAGTTTTTAGTAAAATTATTTTTTTTTTGTAAAAATGGTAAAAACGCCTGCCAATATTCATTCCAAACACAGATGCTAACAATTGGCACTTTATATTTAACATTGTCAAATACCCTATCCATGAGCAGGTTAAAAATTAATTACATAAATGTTTTTTGTGTAATTTTTTATTGTTTAAAAATAATACAAAAGGAAAGGCAAAGTATGCCTTGTTGGTACTTCATTGGGCTATTTGTGTTTGTTTGCTATTTGTAATCTTGACATCAGTCCGTCTCTTTCATTGCTTACAAAGCATGATTAGGACGCAGCAGCATACGTTTTCCTTTATTAATTTCTTCAATTAACAGATTAAAACTTGAAATAAATAATTTAATTATATATTCTGATCTTATTTTACTTATAATTAGGTAAGTAGGTAACTAAACAAGTTCGTTTTAGTTATGCTTTTTTTAAGCATTTAACTGCTAGATGTTTAAATCTAAAGAAAAGTTTACTAGAAAGAAAAATCCACGCGGGCCAGGCAGCGGACGGGACTCGAACCTTTTTTTTTTCTTTAGATTTAAACATCTAGCAGTTAAATGCTTAAAAAAACATAACTATAATTGATATTTCTTCTTTCAAATGTTTAATACTTGAAAAAGTATTCATTTGACATTGTGGGTTACCTGCAATGCGAAGAGATGGCGCTGCCTTGCAGCTTAAGGCTAGGAAAATTTCGACGCGGCCATCAGGGCCGTGATAGCATAATTGGTCAGAGCATTCGCCCGGATTGCGAAGGATGCGGGTTCGAGTCCCGTCCGCTGCCTGGTCCGAGGGATTATTTTTCTAGTAAATTTTCCATAAGTTCGTTTTAATTTGCAATGTAACAATAATTACTGGAGATGCGTCGAATGTATGATTTAATCAAATACGAATTTTGGGCCGAATATTCGGTCCGAAATGTACCGAACAGAATATTCGGCTGAATCATTCGGTTCAATTCTGCGCGGAAAACAGGTTTGTATACGTCGTCTTTCATTGTTGATTTCATAGGGTATTTCACAAGTTTTAGAGAACGATCTCACGTTATTGACTTATGTTTATGGAGTCCGTAAAAAGTGGATATTCATCATTCTGTTGTGTATTTCAGTAAGTGAAATCGTGAGATTTTATTCAACCCCCTCCCCCATCCCCCAATCTCACGTGAGATTTTTCAAAATGTGGGTTTATTTCGTAAACGCATTGGATTGTTATTGTAAAAAGAAAAAAAATGCTTCGTGCTTTTATTTACGACTAGTTAAGACTGGTAATCAATATTGCTGAGAGCTATAAGTGTAATAAAAATTTAACAATAGAATACTTAATAGATACTACTGTGAAAAAAAATTGCGTGATATTTGCCGAGACCCCCCCTCTCTCCAACGTAAGATTAGATGAGATTTGACTCGACCCCCTCCCCCCCTTAAACATCTCACGTAATTTATGGACGCCCCCAAACACAGATGCTAACAATTGGCACTTCATTTTTAATACTGTCAAATACCCTGCTATATATACTTAAAAAAAACTTAATTGGATGAAAACTACAAATAATTATGTCAAATTATAAATTTTTATGTTGCAAATTAATATTTGTTACTTAAGGTTTTTTTTTCTATTGTTGATTTTATAAATTTTATTCAGCATAGACATATATATTTAAAAATAACTTTATTTGATTATATATATCGTGGCCATATCGTAGATTTGCTCACTTCATGAAATGCTCAAGTATTTCATGAAATGGTCGCATTTCATGATGTGGCCAACTTAATTTGACCAGATCATTAAATCGTCAACGTTTAACGATTTTGTCATCCACATTTGGCCGGATCGTATATTCAGGGTGACCATAAAATATTTAATAAAAATCCAGAATATGTTAAGAACTTGTTTATTGTCATTTGAGTCCGAATGACACAAACAAATTGAATAAAATTTTAAAAACACACACGTAAATTTCATTTACATTTAGAAAACTAACAAATATTGAGAAATAAAAAGGTACTTTGGTATATATTGCAATAGTAGGGTAAACTGTACTTCCAGGGCCCAAGCGGTAATACTTCAACACTAGGTTAGGTTAAGTTAATGTTGTGACCATAACGCGCGAGCCGAGCGAGCAAAGCGAGCGTGCCGCGGTAGCCAGAAAAAAAACTCTATTAAAAGAAAGCTTTTCTACAAAATAAATTCAAGTATCACCTCTTGGGCCCTGGAAGTACAGTTTAACAGTATATCTTTGTACGGCATTGATTCTCATCCGCACTTTGTACCTCAACCGCAGTTTCCAAAATGGCATATTTTGACAGCCAGTAGTAGTCCATAGATTTCTTTTGCGTAGTCACTCTACTCTCCTTAAATTGTTTCGTCGAAAAATCTTTTGTTATCACTTTCTTCCTCATTAAATAACGAATTATGCACTTTTTCACTGCGAGAAACAACATTCTCGGCGGCCGCCATATACATATATAAACAAAGCGCTTGCAGCACCTCTACCGGTAATTAATGTAACTACTTTACAATATGATCAAATAATTTTTGCCATTTCATGAAGTAGCCACGCGTTTAGTTGGCCATATCGTGAAACGATTTCTCATCATTGATCTGCCCAAACCACATCATGATGTGGTCAATAAATAGTGAAACATTTCATGAAATGCGACCATTTTATGAAATTCTCGAGCATTGCATGAAGTGAGCAAATCTACGATATGGCCCGACACATACATATTTTAAAACTTGTGTTGGTACCTAAATATAGTAGTATTTATATTGGTGTCGATTCTGGCGTGATTCTCTAAACTTAAAACTCAATTTAATATCAGTCTCTCCTTTTCATTCTGTATAGAGAATGACAAGGATACACTGTTGTCAAATTTAAGTTTAGATTTAGAGAATTGTGCCAGAATCGACACCACTATATTCTAAAATGAAATTTTTCGTAAAAAGTTGTTATTGAAAGTGGTGTTCTTAAAATTTAATTTAGTTAAATTTATCATCTGTTAAAAAAGCAGAAGTATATCTGATTAAAATTGATTGTTAACATTTATTGAAGTGAAACTTCTTTATCGGCGTTGGAAAAAAATTTACCGTCACATTTTTCGGTTACGCGTCACATTTTTTGGTTACGCGCCATCTTTTTTTTGGTAATAACAACGACGATGAACATATAAATGAAATGAAATGAATCTTGTTTGTATTCATGTCTATGATAATAAAATCCTTTTGTTTAAACTTTATCTAATTTAACTTTATTTAACCAATTTCTGGAAAGTTGCATGTACATCATTTTTCGAAAAATAAGGCCATAAAGAAGTTTCACTTCTTACGTGTGTACACTAGTACACGCACACATTTTTTTTTATTATAAATGATAAATAAATGGCACAAAAACGTAGTGTTCTTTTCATGTACAAAAAACTATGTACAATTTTTGGAATAAACCACTCTTTTAACCTAACAGTTAACCTAACTGTTTATAAAATGATATATTTTTTAAATATTTTTAGTATAATTTAAACATTCGTTAATTATTCGACAAATCAACCGAATATTCGACCGAATACGAACATGAAAGAATTTGGCGAATGTACCCAATACGAATATTCGGCCGAACATTCGGTGCATCTCTAATATTGACGTCCTCCGTGGGCGAGTGGTTTGTACGCCGGGTTTCATGGTGTCGCCGACTCGAGAGGTCCCGGGTTCGAATCTCGGTGGGGGCAAATGTTTGTGTGATGAATACGAGCATTTGTACTCCAGTCATGGATGTAAAATATTTATTTCTATATAAATATACTTATATATGTACAGTATATGTATTCTATCCGTTACCCTAGTATCCCATAACACAAGCCTTACAGTGCTTACTTTGGGGCTAGGCTAATTGGTGTGAATGTTGGAAATATTTATTATTAATTATAATTCCAATAAAAATTATTCGGGGTGATAAAAATAAAACACAAAATTAGCAAAATGAATGGCACATTTAATTAATATTATTCATTTTTATAATAAGACCTTTCTTGTAATTATAATCATCATTTTTAATCTATGCATTTCAAATGTAGAAGGGCACATAGTAGTAACATATAAATCTTTGATACTGTCTGTCTGTCTGTGGGAGATAATTATAACAAAAAAAAATATTATAAAAATAAAAAGAAGCCTCATTTACACAATCGCCGGGACGTGTCAAAATCTCCAGTGCCTTACAATGTGAGCATAATTCATAATAAATTACAGATTTAAGAGTACAGATTACTAATTTAAAAAAAAATGGCATCCTAACATAGTACGTACAGACAACAAAAGTAGAAAAAAATAATAATTAATTAATCAATAAGAAATAATAAAAATCACTTAAAAAAAATCGAAACTTAGTTTTTACCGCTAAATGGAAGAGAAGGCCATCTAAGCTAAACTAAATGGGCTCAAATTAATGATTAAAGTGACGCTTACAAACTATTCATACAATAATAGAATACTAAAAAAATATTTTGAACTTTTTCTTTTCTTGAATTTGGACTTTACGTCGTGGTGCATAAGGTAATTAGTCGTCTGCGCCCGACACAGACGACATTCGGTGTCAATTCACAAATTCTCGTATATTATGCGAACATTATTGTAAAAAAACCCTCTTAAAAACAGCATTTTTGTATATATTCTTACGAATTTAAATTACAAACAAGAGTTTATTTTTATTGTTAATATAAATATCTTTTATTTATCTATTTATTATGCGTTATTTATTCCGTTTGCAATTGTGAATGTCCACATAACATACGCGGGTTTGAACGCTAAACATTATTTGATAGGAGTACCCGGTCAAATCTGCCATTGGTTCATCGATCGTTACAGACGAAAATCAACCTTAATCTCTATATAATACAGTGTTAAATCGAAACTAAATTACGTTTTCACATCGCGTGTCGGGCCGATGTGTCTCTCAAACTAACAAAAACGTACTGTGTCGTAACTGGTTACTGTAAGTACGTAAAGTAGTTAATTTTGTTTTAAACTAATTTTAAAAGTCAAAATCAAAGTCAAATATTATGAATGTGTATATCTCAATTTCGTTAATACCGACTAAACTAAAACGTCAATTTTCAACGGCGGTACTGTCGCCATCTCTCTCTTACTCATTGGTCAGAGAGAGACGGCGATAGAGTCGTGTTAGGGGCTCCAACTTGTTCAGAATATCGATTGGTGACGTCACAAAGCAAACACTAGTGATGACGTAATAATTAATAGCAATTTTCTTTTAAATAATCAATTGAGCTTCAAATCGATTTTATATACATTTATATAACAGGACGATGCAAAAAAAAAAATCTGTATTTATTATATCAATTTAAAAAAATGCCTCTGTTAGCCCTGAAAGCTGACAGAAGTTGCCAGTTCATGACAAATTATATTATTTATTTTACGTCGATTCCCCAACATGCAAATTTTATGTGTATATTTAAAACTAAGACATGCATACATTTGCATGATGCTGATTCAATATAAATATATACAAATCCCAATATAGAAAAATGTCAATGTAAAAATAGAAATGAATCAAGATCCAACAGGTTGATTGGCCATGAAAAAAAATTCATCAAAAACTGACGCACAGAGAAAATCATACATAAATACCAAAAAAAGTATAGTTTTATGGATCTCCCGGATCCGTTAAGTATAAAATAAGTATATTTCTTTTGTCAATAAAACAAAAAGCAATGTCAACGATTTTTCACTGGAGTTTTTTTAAGTGAAACGAACGAGCGGCAATTTAATTTCAATAGAAATTAAAAAAACTTAAATCACCACTTAAGTACATTGTTGAAACAGCAGCAGCCATCTTTACAAACAAACCATTAATAATAAAACTGGTCACATAGCCGTTTTATTTGTGATTCGTTCCGAAATCATACCTGAAGCTGGGGAAAGCGCAAATAATGTAAAATTTTCATAATCTACTTTTATTGTAACAAAAAAAATAGTTGTTACAACTTTTTTTTGTTTAATTTACTTTGTTACAAAAAAATTTTTGTTACAATATTTTTTGTTAACGTACATTTCTTTGTATATATTTTTCGGAACCGTCCCACAAACAAAACACGCGAGCGTCCGCACATACATACATTAATTTTCTTTATATTATTAAAGAGCGATTTTCATACAATCTCCCATTCACATTTAATCACATACTCATCATTTTAATGTTAAAATTATTTGTAACGATTCGAAATCCATTGTTGAGGTATCTAATTATTGTCAAGCTTACTGTCAAACACAAAACGAAAATCAATTTTCTATCTATTCTGCGTCACAAGCGGTATAGCAGGGAGGCAAAGATTTGGCAACATATATTTAAAATGTATTATTATATAAAGATACATATTTTGCTTTTTTCCCAAAAATAAAAACTAGCTACCTCAACCCCCGAAAATGGACTCGGAACCGACTTATAAACTACGCTCTTATGGCAGCCAAAAAAATAAGAAATACAGAAATAATTTTAAAATCGTAATTAAAATATCTTTTCTCAATAGTTCGAACTATTAATATACCTATACATAGATTGTAGGGTCTAATACTAATATTTTACAAAATTCAGGATTCGCCTCGCCCTCATGTCGCTAAAGTCTGTGGGTCGAGACATGATCCCCTCCCTTTCAACATATATCCCTCTCTGTCTCTCATAGGCGATTAGAAGGAAACAAAGCATGTCAATGTTAACTTTCCTCTCTTTCCTTGGGGCGTTTTCGTTTGTCTGTATATCTATCCCTAATTATAAAACTATATAGTTTAAAGGCTAGTAATATACACACTTAACACTAAAGTCCAATTATAACAGTCACTACGCACGTGTTTCTTTGGGATTTCAAAAAAAAAATTAAAAAAAAAAACTACGCTTTCATTTAAAAAACAAAAGTCGTTGATATGTAAAAATAATAACAATTCGTTTTAGTAAAATTAAAAATAATTGTAAAACCAGTTTTTGCGATTTTAATAAAAACTTAGCGATTTTTCAAAGTTCCCCTATAGAAAACATGTTTTGTTATAGCGAGCGAGCCTGTCATATTATTTCATGTTATTATCAAAATCACAAAAAAGGCTTTTAAAAATTGTATTAAATTGTACATTTGTTATAACCACTGGTTTAATTTACATTTTTTGTAAATTTATTAACACCCCAACAACCTTTTTCATTTTGGTATGTTTCACATTATTATTATAATAGCGTGTAATTAATTTTCAATTTTTTTTTCTAATATAAAAAAAAATACTATGCTAAAGAAAAACGCAACTTAAAAGATTTTTTATAAAGTAAAAAATATAAAATAGAAATCACTAAAAATACTGAAGAGTTAATAAATATGTAAATATAATAAAAATCTCCGCAAATATGCTATTTTCAAGTTACGTTACGTTAAGTTAGAATATGTTGAGAACTTGTTTATTGTCATTTGAGTCCGAATGACACAAACAAATTGAATAAAATTTTTGTAAGAAAATAAACAAATATTTTTTTTTTCTAAATTAAACATCAACGTGTCATGTAATTACACACACGTAAATTTCATTTACATTTAGAAAACTAACAAATATTGAGAAATAAAAAGGTACTTTGGTATATATTGCAATAGTAGGGTAAACTGTACTTCCAGGGCCCAAGCGGTAATACTTCAACACTAGGTTAGGTTAAGTTAATGTTGTGACCATAACGCGCGAGCCGAGCGAGCAAAGCGAGCGTGCCGCGGTAGCCAGAAAAAAAACTCTATTAAAAGAAAGCTTTTCTACAAAATAAATTCAAGTATCACCTCTTGGGCCCTGGAAGTACAGTTTAACAGTATATCTTTGTACGGCATTGATTCTCATCCGCACTTTGTACCTCAACCGCAGTTTCCAAAATGGCATATTTTGACAGCCAGTAGTAGTCCATAGATTTCTTTTGCGTAGTCACTCTACTCTCCTTAAATTGTTTCGTCGAAAAATCTTTTGTTATCACTTTCTTCCTCATTAAATAACGAATTATGCACTTTTTCACTGCGAGAAACAACATTCTCGGCGGCCGCCATATACATATATAAACAAAGCGCTTGCAGCACCTCTACCGGTAATTAATGTAACTACTTTACAATATGATCAAATAATTTTTGCCATTTCATGAAGTAGCCACGCGTTTAGTTGGCCATATCGTGAAACGATTTCTCATCATTGATCTGCCCAAACCACATCATGATGTGGTCAATAAATAGTGAAACATTTCATGAAATGCGACCATTTTATGAAATTCTCGAGCATTGCATGAAGTGAGCAAATCTACGATATGGCCCGACACATACATATTTTAAAACTTGTGTTGGTACCTAAATATAGTAGTATTTATATTGGTGTCGATTCTGGCGTGATTCTCTAAACTTAAAACTCAATTTAATATCAGTCTCTCCTTTTCATTCTGTATAGAGAATGACAAGGATACACTGTTGTCAAATTTAAGTTTAGATTTAGAGAATTGTGCCAGAATCGACACCACTATATTCTAAAATGAAATTTTTCGTAAAAAGTTGTTATTGAAAGTGGTGTTCTTAAAATTTAATTTAGTTAAATTTATCATCTGTTAAAAAAGCAGAAGTATATCTGATTAAAATTGATTGTTAACATTTATTGAAGTGAAACTTCTTTATCGGCGTTGGAAAAAAATTTACCGTCACATTTTTCGGTTACGCGTCACATTTTTTGGTTACGCGCCATCTTTTTTTTGGTAATAACAACGACGATGAACATATAAATGAAATGAAATGAATCTTGTTTGTATTCATGTCTATGATAATAAAATCCTTTTGTTTAAACTTTATCTAATTTAACTTTATTTAACCAATTTCTGGAAAGTTGCATGTACATCATTTTTCGAAAAATAAGGCCATAAAGAAGTTTCACTTCTTACGTGTGTACACTAGTACACGCACACATTTTTTTTTATTATAAATGATAAATAAATGGCACAAAAACGTAGTGTTCTTTTCATGTACAAAAAACTATGTACAATTTTTGGAATAAACCACTCTTTTAACCTAACAGTTAACCTAACTGTTTATAAAATGATATATTTTTTAAATATTTTTAGTATAATTTAAACATTCGTTAATTATTCGACAAATCAACCGAATATTCGACCGAATACGAACATGAAAGAATTTGGCGAATGTACCCAATACGAATATTCGGCCGAACATTCGGTGCATCTCTAATATTGACGTCCTCCGTGGGCGAGTGGTTTGTACGCCGGGTTTCATGGTGTCGCCGACTCGAGAGGTCCCGGGTTCGAATCTCGGTGGGGGCAAATGTTTGTGTGATGAATACGAGCATTTGTACTCCAGTCATGGATGTAACATATTTATTTCTATATAAATATACTTATATATGTACAGTATATGTATTCTATCCGTTACCCTAGTATCCCATAACACAAGCCTTACAGTGCTTACTTTGGGGCTAGGCTAATTGGTGTGAGTGTTGGAAATATTTATTATTAATTATAATTCCAATAAAAATTATTCGGGGTGATAAAAATAAAACACAAAATTAGCAAAATGAATGGCACATTTAATTAATATTATTCATTTTTATAATAAGACCTTTCTTGTAATTATAATCATCATTTTTAATCTATGCATTTCAAATGTAGAAGGGCACATAGTAGTAACATATAAATCTTTGATACTGTCTGTCTGTCTGTGGGAGATAATTATAACAAAAAAAAAATATTATAAAAATAAAAAGAAGCCTCATTTACACAATCGCCGGGACGTGTCAAAATCTCCAGTGCCTTACAATGTGAGCATAATTCATAATAAATTACAGATTTAAGAGTACAGATTACTAATTTAAAAAAAAATGGCATCCTAACATAGTACGTACAGACAACAAAAGTAGAAAAAAATAATAATTAATTAATCAATAAGAAATAATAAAAATCACTTAAAAAAAATCGAAACTTAAGTTTTTACCGCTAAATGGAAGAGAAGGCCATCTAAGCTAAACTAAATGGGCTCAAATTAATGATTAAAGTGACGCTTACAAACTATTCATACAATAATAGAATACTAAAAAAATATTTTGAACTTTTTCTTTTCTCGAATTTGGACTTTACGTCGTGGTGCATAAGGTAATTAGTCGTCTGCGCCCGACACAGACGACATTCGGTGTCAATTCACAAATTCTCGTATATTATGCGAACATTATTGTAAAAAAACCCTCTTAAAAACAGCATTTTTGTATATATTCTTACGAATTTAAATTACAAACAAGAGTTTATTTTTATTGTTAATATAAATATCTTTTATTTATCTATTTATTATGCGTTATTTATTCCGTTTGCAATTGTGAATGTCCACATAACATACGCGGGTTTGAACGCTAAACATTATTTGATAGGAGTACCCGGTCAAATCTGCCATTGGTTCATCGATCGTTACAGACGAAAATCAACCTTAATCTCTATATAATACAGTGTTAAATCGAAACTAAATTACGTTTTCACATCGCGTGTCGGGCCGATGTGTCTCTCAAACTAACAAAAACGTACTGTGTCGTAACTGGTTACTGTAAGTACGTAAAGTAGTTAATTTTGTTTTAAACTAATTTTAAAAGTCAAAATCAAAGTCAAATATTATGAATGTGTATATCTCAATTTCGTTAATACCGACTAAACTAAAACGTCAATTTTCAACGGCGGTACTGTCGCCATCTCTCTCTTACTCATTGGTCAGAGAGAGACGGCGATAGAGTCGTGTTAGGGGCTCCAACTTGTTCAGAATATCGATTGGTGACGTCACAAAGCAAACACTAGTGATGACGTAATAATTAATAGCAATTTTCTTTTAAATAATCAATTGAGCTTCAAATCGATTTTATATACATTTATATAACAGGACGATGCAAAAAAAAAATCTGTATGTATTATATCAATTTAAAAAATTGCCTCTGTTAGCCCTGAAAGCTGACAGAAGTTGCCAGTTCATGACAAATTATATTATTTATTTTACGTCGATTCCCCAACATGCAAATTTTATGTGTATATTTAAAACTAAGACATGCATATTTGCATGATGCTGATTCAATATAAATATATACAAATCTCAATATAGAAAAATGTCAATGTAAAAATAGAAATGAATCAAGATCCAACAGGTTGATTGGCCGTGAAAAAAAATTCATCAAAAACTGACGCACAGAAAAAATCATACATAAATACCAAAAAAAAAGTATAGTTTTATGGATCTCCCGGATCCGTTAAGTATAAAATAAGTATATTTCTTTTGTCAATAAAACAAAAAGCAATGTCAACGATTTTTCACTGGAATTTTTTTAAGTGAAACGAACGAGCGGCAATTTAATTTCAATAGAAATTAAAAAAAAATTAAATCACCACTTAAGTACATTGTTGAAATAGCAGCAGCCATCTTTACAAACAAACCATTAATAATAAAACTGGTCACATAGCCGTTTTATTTGTGATTCGTTCCGAAATCATACCTGAAGCTGGGGAAAGCGCAAATAATGTAAAATTTTCATAATCTACTTTTATTGTAACAAAAAAAATAGTTGTTACAACTTTTTTTTGTTTAATTTACTTTGTTACAAAAAATTTTTTGTTACAATATTTTTTGTTAACGTACATTTCTTTGTATATATTTTTCGGAACCGTCCCACAAACAAAACACGCGAGCGTCCGCACATACATACATTAATTTTCTTTATATTATTAAAGAGCGATTTTCATACAATCTCCCATTCACATTTAATCACATACTCATCATTTTAATGTTAAAATTATTTGTAACGATTCGAAATCCATTGTTGAGGTATCTAATTATTGTCAAGCTTACTGTCAAACACAAAACGAAAATCAATTTTCTATCTATTCTGCGTCACAAGCGGTATAGCAGGGAGGCAAAGATTTGGCAACATATATTTAAAATGTATTATTATATAAAGATACATATTTTGCTTTTTTCCCAAAAATAAAAACTAGCTACCTCAACCCCCGAAAATGGACTCGGAACCGACTTATAAACTACGCTCTTATGGCAGCCAAAAAAATAAGAAATACAGAAATAATTTTAAAATCGTAATTAAAATATCTTTTCTCAATAGTTCGAACTATTAATATACCTATACATAGATTGTAGGGTCTAATACTAATATTTTACAAAATTCAGGATTCGCCTCGCCCTCATGTCGCTAAAGTCTGTGGGTCGAGACATGATCCCCTCCCTTTCAACATATATCCCTCTCTGTCTCTCATAGGCGATTAGAAGGAAACAAAGCATGTCAATGTTAACTTTCCTCTCTTTCCTTGGGGCGTTTTCGTTTGTCTGTATATCTATCCCTAATTATAAAACTATATAGTTTAAAGGCTAGTAATATACACACTTAACACTAAAGTCCAATTATAACAGTCACTACGCACGTGTTTCTTTGGGATTTCAAAAAAAAAATTAAAAAAAAAAACTACGCTTTCATTTAAAAAACAAAAGTCGTTGATATGTAAAAATAATAACAATTCGTTTTAGTAAAATTAAAAATAATTGTAAAACCAGTTTTTGCGATTTTAATAAAAACTTAGCGATTTTTTAAAGTTCCCCTATAGAAAACATGTTGTGCTTGTAGCGAGCGAGCCTGTCATATTATTTCATGTTATTATCAAAATCACAAAAAAGGCTTTTAAAAATTGTATTAAATTGTACATTTGTTATAACCACTGGTTTAATTTACATTTTTTGTAAATTTATTAACACCCCAACAACCTTTTTCATTTTGGTATGTTTCACATTATTATTATAATAGCGTGTAATTAATATTCTATTTTTTTTCTAATATAAAAAAAATACTATGCTAAAGAAAAACGCAACTTAAAAGATTTTTTATAAAGTAAAAAAAATAAAATAGAAATCACTAAAAATACTGAAGAGTTAATAAATATGTAAATATAATAAAAATCTCCGCAAATATGCTATTTTCAAGTTACATTTTTCTTTGAACAAAATACATGTCGTAGAAGTGTGATGGTATAAATATTAACAATTTTTTTTTATATATAAAGAAACAAATCAATTTCCTTTTTCATTTATTATGAAAACCTTATTAGGCACTTAATGATATTTTGTTACAAAGTGTATTTAAAAATAAATTTAAATTGAAAAAAAATGTGTTAAAAATTAAGATTGAAAATATCATCACACTAACACAAAACAGTATACAAATTCACTACCAGAGTGTTTAAAACGTTAAAAATTATAAAAAAAAACTGGACAACCATAAATTACTGGGCTATGATTATACAAAATCAATGGCGGCAAATATTAAAGATACAAATTAAATTGATACTATCAAATATACATAATTCACTGGATTTTGCATCAATATAAAGTTATTGACAACTTTGCATATACAATTTCATTTCAACATAGAGGCTTTATTCAAACTATATTTACTCTGACAAAATTACTATTTTTTAAACATTTTTAAACAAAACGCAATTTTAATTCCAAATTCTTTATAAAGAAAAAAAAATCGCGTAATTAATTCTACTGAAAATGATTCACAAAATAACTTTAATAAATAAATAAATTTTCAATTTTATTAATTTAACGCCATCGATTTCGTAGCACATTTTAACCGCAAAAATATATTATTTAATACATAAATATATGTCGTGTTGGTCGTCAGGGCGTTTTAAATGCTGCAGCTAGCGAGGCTGCCTGCTCGTGTGGGTCATAATATGGCCTGTGTTGCCAGCGTGGGCATTGTGGGGATTGTGGGCGTTTTGTAGGGTATTGTGCGTAGAGTTTGAGGCCAGTCGCTATTGCGGCGGCCCACCTGTGGGCGGTTGGCCCGGTAATTGTCCCATACCCTGTACATATATACAAAATTATTAATTTTACATATATTTAAAATAATAAATTTATTTCAGGCATAACATCCATAAAATTACAAAAATAGGTGTGTTTTAAAATAAAAGTCCTTTCTCGTCTGGGACTCGAACCCAGACCGTCTTTCTAACAATTTTAAACTGTCATTTTATTCAAATAAATTTACTTTTTGTATCAATGTACTTTAGCGAATAATAATTCCATAATAGATTTGTTATTTACAAATTTGCGCCGTTTTAGGATATTTTGTCACCTAGTACAGGCAAACTTGATTATTAATAATTAATATTATTTATAATTAGTATAATTTTTTATTAAATGTCATTATGACTTTTTTTTCATGAGTTTCATTTATTATTTTTATTTGCACGATTTTGAAGTTTTTCAGGCAATTCAAAATTCACGGTGTTGCTTATAATCTTAACATTATAAGCAATAACTACAAATAAATTGGAATTAAATATAAAAGGCTGTTGTGGCTGTCACAGTTTTTATTACTGACAACTTAACGAATGACAATTCACTTTTTATAAACCATCAGTACGAGATAATAATTAATTCTCTTTGCAGATTGTAACAGTGTTTAAGAGCCCTTTTACAAAATTGCGCCGCTGCCGTACTGATCGGCGCGTAGGTAGATTTTCACTAATATATATTGCATTTTACGGGTGATGTTTCGAGTCTTATAAAATAATTATTAATGAACTAATTATAAAAATATATACATATTTCAGTAGTTCAATGATGGTAGTTTAGTTTTATGAAAGTTTTTGATAGTAATTCTATTTAATTCAATATCAAAATACGAGGTAAACCTGCATTATTTTTTGGGAAAACTCACTGAGGTTAGATATTTTTTTTGACAATTAATGAGATAGAAAATCAAAATTCTAATACATTATGTTATAACAAAAACATACTTTTGATGTCATTGTAATTATTTAGATCTAATTTATTGAACATTATTAAGAGATTAAGGCGTTTGAATTTGTGCATATTATCTTTTTTTCCGCAAACTAGCTGCAGTAGAACGATCAGTACAAAAAAGGGAAAAAAATATTTGCAAATATTATACATTACCTTACAATAGGAAGAATAAATCTACCGTTTACTTCTATTAGAAATAGTCAAAATCTTTTCTAAGGGGGGTAAACGAGGCGATCAAAAATTACGGTTTTTTGCAAAAAATGTGAAAGGGCTCTTAACTGTCATTTTATTGAAATCAATCTACTATTTGTATCAATGTACTTTAGCGAATAATAATTCCATAATAGATTTGTTATTGAAAAATTTGCACCGTTTTAGGATATATTGTCACCTAGTTCAGGCAAACTTGATTATTAATAATTAATATTATTTTATAATTAGTATAAATTTTTATTAAATGTGATTATGACTTATTTTTCATGACTTATTAGTTCATTTATTATTTTTATTTGCACAATTTTTAAGTCTTTCAGGCAACTTAGAATTGACGATGTTTAAGTGGTGTTTTGCAAAGTAACGTGCTACGTACGGGCATGGGCGGGTAGTGCTGCAGGGGCGCCAGCAGCTTGGGCGCTTCCTCTGCCTTCTCCTCTTCGCGTCTCTTCAGACACGCCGCCTTAGGATTGAGGTTTCGTTCTAAAAAAAAAATATATAGTCATAATAATATATTGTTTGAAAACTTTTTTTTAAACCGACAAAGGAGGTCAAAGTATACTATTAATTACTCGTGGATGTTAATATATTTTTAAAGAAAATAAATGTCATTCTGTCAATTCATGTCACCACAGAGCTGGTTTTAATTTATATTATTTTCCGTTTTATTTCTTTTGTTTACATTTTTAATAATTTATTTGAATGACTATTTTCGTCAAGCAAATCTACATCCCTTAAATAAATTCAAATATACCTTTAATTAAATTTCTAAAAGAGCTTATTACAAAGTCTCCGCTTATATTAAAGACATAAATGCTTGAGTTTTAACTGTGGAACAGTTAAAACATCAGTCCAACAGGTTTTCTATAATTATAAAAAGAATCATGGGTGTTTTGATGTTGGAACATCATAATGATTTGAAAATACTGTTACATTATTCTTTTTATAATGTGAATTAATTATCGCTCGCAGCTTAAAAAAAAATGTCCAATAACGTGTGATAGGGGAAAAAATACGATTGAAAAGAGTTATGCATCTAAATTAGAATAAATAATTTTACTTTATGGTAACCGGTTGCAAATCAGTTGAAAGTTAAATGGTAGACGTGCCGGTCTGCTGGCCGTGATTTAATAACTACAATCAGTAAATAATTTCTCACTAAAGAAAATATAACTAGAAAAAAATCCACACGGACCAGGCAGCAGACGGGACTCCAACCCGATCCGAGCGAATGCCCTATCCAATTATGCTACCGCGGTCCTGATGGCCGCGTAATGCTTAAATATATATATAATTTCTCACTATTTATAAAGCTCGGTTTCTGAAGGTTTGTCAAATCAATAAAATGCCTGTCAATTTAACAGCAGTGTTATTATCAATGTCATTTTCTGTAACGAAGATTAGAGAAAAAATCCAGACACACACAAAAGCGCCCGCCGAAACAAATGTTCTTGACTAAGCAGCGATTAGTTGATTGGGTTTTCAGCAACTCAAATGACAATAGGGATGATGACTAATTTTTTCTTTCTCACCTATCAAAAAGTATTGGACACGTATTCTTTCTTTATTCACACCCGCGGTCTGTGTAAATGGCGGATTTCTGCCACGCAATATTATAATACAATATTTAGGTATAGAACAGATAAATACAAATAGATGCAGAAAATATTAAAGATTGATTTCAGACATTAATGAAGACAATATATTCAGTAGAACTCCAAATATAACGCGAGGGTTTCGACGGCCATTATGATTACAGGGACCACGGGGTAATCACAACATTACGGAGACATATATATTGATTTGAAACGTCGCATGACGTCACGTGTTGGTAAAATTTTTACTTATAATGCGATTCAAATAAGAATAGGACCGACTGGGTGCCATATTGTGACGTCATAGCCGTCAATTCTAACAAAATACTACCTATTTTGTAAGCAAAAAAAGTTTTAATTTAATAAAACTTATTTACTAAGATTCAGTGAGACAAGCATCTGATTTTTTTAATAATATTTATTTACTAAGATTGAGAAAGAAAAACATATTTATTTATTAAGACTGTGTGGGAAAAAACATTAATCAGAATTTAGCTCTTCAATTCCGCTCATTTCTGCATTACCGCCGGAGTAGTTTTGAATAATCATGCACTATTACTAGGTCACATACGAGCATGCATCCTTTATGTAAACGAAAGTTTTAAACAGAGTTTCCGAACGCAACTTAAAGTGACATTTGGTTGACGATTTAGGTTAGGGGCCGTTCATAAAATACGTCACGCTAAAATCAGCTTTTTCCGACCCCCTCCCCCCCCCCCTATTGTCACGCTGTCACACTTTCTGTGACCCCTCTTGAAATATTCCGTCACAAAAACGGAGACCCCCCCCCCCTCCCCAATCATGATTAATTTCAATTGGTAGTACACAAATTTTAAGAATTTAAATATTTATTTAGTTTTTATAATAAAATTTAAATATATAAATATGAGCTAATGTCGAAAAATAAACATGAGTAAATATATCAAGTTACAATGTATTGTATAATAAAACTATATACGTTTGAATGCCTATATGTTTACTAAATACGAAACAAATGATTTTCTATCTTGATGAAAATTGAGAAAGAAAAATAGTTGAAAGAAATACTAATTTAAATTTTTTTAATGAACGACGAACGTCACGTTACCGTAGACCCCCCGTCCCCCCTTGTCACACTTAGCAAGACCCCTCTCCCCCCCTTGTATGCGAACGTATTTTATGAACGGCCCCTTATCAACCATTCATAGCCAAAACTCAATAAATGAAAGGAAAAAAACAACCAATATTAATTATCAATATTTGTTATTGTTTGTTTACAAATGTTTGGGTTTTTTATTGTAGAATTAGCCGAGTGCTAAAAAAGGGTTCCAAGATTTTTTTGCAAACCGTACTTTTCAAGCTACATTTAGTTGACAGATGGAGGTCATGGGCTTTCCTATTCTTATTTGAATCGCACTATACCACCTTTTAGAAACCGGGTGTTATGATTTAAAACTGACCTCTGACTTGCTGCTCCAGCGTCATGATGACCTCCACGGCCATGTTGAGTATGCCGAGCTTCGTCTGCGGCTTGTCGCTCTTCAGGTGCGTCATACACATCCTGCCCAACTCTTTGAGTGCCTCGTTTATGTCCCTTATTCTTATCCTACGCACAATCCAATGATTATTTATTTATTTCCTATTTATCTATTACGTTTTCATGAAAATCGACAAATTTATAAAACACTTTTTGAACGGTATGAAGCATGAGATATTATTCATTATTACTGATGTTTCGGATTCTCTTCGGGCTACCGTTGTCCCAAAATTTAACTACGAACTCGATTGAACACCTCAGAGCCTGTTAAGGATCTCAAAGAATAATGAAAAATTCTAATTAATTGGTCTTTACAAAAGTTCAAAAGGTGTTTTAGTAAATTTATAATCTCGAATGCGGTTATTGCTACTAACTGAAAAATGCTTGAAAACTCAACTTCAGCTCGGGTGATCAACAACTTTAAAAATGTTTGTTTGTTTTACTTTGTAGTACGCACAACAGAACATCGAACTATTAAACTATTTCCAGATTCTGAAAATGATGCTTTCAAATCAATCACCAATGTTGAAAATCGATGGGATATTTTTACTGTACTATATTACTTTAAGTTAAAAGCTGCTTTATTTATAAATATTACAGTTGATTTCAATAAACATAAAATTTCAAATATTCATCAAAATAATAAAGAAATACGTACTTTTTTAACATAAAAAACGTCCATCGATGAAGAAAACCTAAGGTTTTTTAATAAATTATGAATTTAAAATAATATATTGGCGTAAGTCACGAAAAAGTATAACTAAGTTGACGTTCACAAGCATTTTTCGAAAACATTTAAGTTTGCAAAATATTTCAAAAGCAGAGAGGGTCACAGTATGCATATATAATAAAATTTAATACTAATATTGTCATCTAATTTTTCTTCAAGCTAAGCCTGCAGCCAGCTTGAAATATGCTATATGTATTTAGATGAATTTGAAAATAAAAACTACTATAGGTAAAATTAGCTAGACTTATGAGTTTATAGATTTGTTAGCCGCATGAAACACAAAAATACTGGTGATAGTTGAATTGGAATAGCTCTTCATAAACTAGGTTGTGGTTTGTTTCTGTCCAAAGAAAGCAAACAATAAGTTGAGCTACTACAAACAATTAAGTGACTGACAGATTTAAAATAAAAAAATTTGCTCATTCTCCAACAGACAAGCATTCAGTTTTACTTGGCACCCTACACGGCATTCGAGTATTTCAAATACGCGTGGAAAGGTAATGGTAAAAATGGTGTGCCTCAAGGTACTACATTCAGACCGTTAGTATTCTTCTACTTATTATTAAGTACTTTTGTTTACTCGGGATATAATTTTATTGTCTACTAATGTCTTCTCGCTGGGGTACAGGCCTCCTCTACGGTTGGTATAGGGTGATTAGGCTATGAAGTGACATGTTTAATGTGGCGAACAAACTAAATATTCTATGTACCGTTCTCTCGCGTTGTTGGCTTGCCGCCTCTCCTTTTCTCGCATCGCTTTGGCCTGTGGATCCGCTTCGTCGTCACCTTCGTCCGCTGACGAGCAGCTGTTAAACGCTTACGTGTTACCATTCAACCTTATACAAGTTAACGCGTTTTGAGTAGTAGTTTGAGATGCCGATGTGTTGAGTAGATAAGAGATCATCTTATTTATATATGGAGTAGAATATAATATCTTTCTATAACGTATATAGAAATATTATTTGTTAAAATTTGACAAGGCTTTAAAACATGATTTTTTAGATACAAATTTAATTAGATACCAGATATCTCAGTATTTTTTAGGAAACTAAATAAACATGTTGTAAATTTAAAACTCTTTGTGAGTTAAATATCTCACGAGAAACCGGTTTTGTAGATAGTAACTTAAAATCAGCATCACAAACTATAGGCCTATAGAGTAAAGACAAGACAGGAAAAGGACAGCATTACCTGCACGAAGACGGCGCGAGAGAGAGAGACAGCTGCCGACCTCCTGCTCAAACAAAACTACAACCACCCACAAGCTACCGTGTTAATAAGCAATGATCATGATATGATGTATATTTGCTTGTTCATATTGTTCTTGTTATCTACAGTTCAGATTTAATATTCGACAATGTTTTATCGTTTTGGGGCAATATTATTATTAATAAGTAACTTTTCCTACACTGTTGCTTGTGTAAAACTTTTAAACAAGACAAGGTTTATCATATTTTTATTTTAAGCACTGAACTTTAAGATGTTTATAACCCACTTGTTACAGATATACATTTTTTTGCAGAATCTCCATGATTTTTGAAGTGAACTTCTTTAGCGGCATTGCACACTTTTTTTTGTATGGGTAAAAAATGTTAATTTCGCGTCAGGTTAAACACGTGGGCTGATCGCATCATGACACACAATAAAATTGGAAAGGTTGTTGACTTTCCATATATTGGACGAAACAAGACTCTATCTAGGACGTTCACGTGGCAGCAATGTGATTCATGTAAGTTGATTTTTCTGAAAGATAAACTTTTTTAATGTAATATAAATTGTCATGTTTGTGTACGACAGCGCAATAATAAATATTGTATTATACATACACGATAGTATTTTTATACTGATAATTAAAGCAATTCGTACAAAATAATTCCCTAACCATTCCAAAAATGCTCAACATTAATATTCAAGTTTTCACTTCTGCCGGCACTCCCGGAGTGCAACCCGTCGTTTTTTTTGTACACATACTCATGTAGGTTTAATTAAATCACGAAATGTTACGTAAAAGCGGGAAAATGTTACAGTGTTTGATATACGGAACACTAGTAATCTGTACTACTACTTATCGCATATTTACAGAACTTCGCGAGACAATAATTCACGAATAATATTTGAAATTTATGTATTACATTCATTTAATATACGCGAGACAATAATATTTGAAATGTAAGTATAACATTCGTTTAGTTAATAAGAAGGAACCCATTTTTTTAAGGCCAAAATTTCAGACTAAAGCGAGTACCCGTTATAAATATGTTCAGCTTGACCCACAAAGCACGTTGAATATCCATATTCATATAATTTCAATAATCTCGCAATAAGAACGATTTAAATGACTCTTTTAGTGACAAATAAAGTTTTGGGACAAAATATAAATATATTATGTTAGCTGTGTTATTTAAGTACCACAATAAATTTGAAACAATGCATCTATAGATATGGAATAGTTTTTGAACATAATATTTTAGTATAACATCTACTTTATATTGATGAATACTACACTGTTAGGATGTTTTCTAATGATTTGAGGGAAAGATTTTAAACTATAGTAAATTATGTTACTTACGGGATTGTTACCATGTACCTTGTTTTTAGCGATTTTCCGATATTTCGGCACTGTTGCAAGCGCCATGATCACGAAGTAACTGAAGCGATTGAGGGTGGGATGTTATTGGCAGACATATCGATCTACCCTCCGATCCTAACCACTGGATTGAGTTCAGTTTATTCAGAATAACCCCAATGAGACGTGAAGACAAATTACATTTACCTCGATCAAATTCAGCAATTTTTGAAAAAAAGTACTTAGGTATGTCTGCCATACGAATATACAATAATGTACCGCCTTATCTGCGGTCACTTTCTGAATATAAGTTTGTAAGGTCCCTGAAGCAATGGCTAATTTATGTAATGTATTTTATAATCTAAATTATTAAATAATATTTTAATAATGATTTGTAAAAATGTCTATTGCATGCCCGATTAGGGTAACTGTTTGTTACAATTGTGTACACTAACATCTAGCAGTATCAATAAATGTAACAGTTTAGCAATAAAGACTTAACGTATTCTATTCATAAAGCTTAGATTATCTTGACAGAACGCCACTATATACCAAGATTCAAAATTCAATATCGTTTATTCAGTCTAGGCTGTTACAAGCACTTGTGAATGTCTGGAAGCTACGCCATCGGTTCGTAAATCTACGGCGGGAGACCTTGTACTGAGGAGAACCGGCAAGAAACTCAGCAAGGGCTGTTTTTTTTTCACCCTGTATTATATACAGAGTCTTCAAATTGAAAAATGACTTCAATATGAGGTAACTCATAAAATCACTTTCCATTACAAATGTAAATAATATAAAAATTATGACCATATAAAAAACTGGTTTAACAAAGTTTAGGAATGCCGTGTCCTACGGTTTAGGCAAAAAAAATGAACGATTAAAGTTTAGTACAACGATTGGTCAGAAACTCGTTAAAAACATGGTGCATGGTAACAATCCCGTAAATTGCTATGACATTAGTGAATTAAATTATTTTTTTTATTCCGCCCGGTAAAGCTATCTGTTTATACTATAATAATTTGTATTATAACGTTTTCATTTAATAATTATATATAAAAAACAAAGATGTTAAATATGCGGTATGTTTGACATTAGAGTTTTAATTTCATAAATTGAAGTGTTAAACTTATAATACGAAAAAATATGTATTGACATTATTGCCAAATTGTAAATGTATTATTAAATATATTATGTTTAAAGATTTTTTAAACTTATTTACAAAATCAAAACTCCAATTTGAAAATACATATAATGAATCCCACTTACCTTGCGTCCTACCTTAATGATACAAAACAAAATGGTTTTTATCACAAACGACTAATGTCGATTTTACAATGGCAGACTATAGAATAATGTAACACAAACATACTGTGACCCTCTGTTGTTAATGATGGCAAAGCTGAAACTTCAATATGTACACTGTACTGTTAGTGATAAGGTTGAAAATTGCACGTGGAGTACAATCGAGGCTATGCGACTTGCCTTGGAAAAATAGCTTTTACGGCTTTGATAATAAAGTCTATGACGGCGAACATTAGCCTTGATTGTAATATTATTCATTTATACATGTCTTATTATTAGATACATTTTTTTAATTTTTTAAAAGATTTTTAAAGTTTTTGGTAAAAATTCAAAGTTTCTGAAAATAAAACTGAGCAAAAAATTTTAAAACAAATTTATTGAAACAATGATGAGATAGAATATTGCGTCTCTATTTATCTACGAGCGCATGAGAGAGATAGAAATATAGTGGGGAATTTAATGGAATCATATTATTTGTAAGTATTTAACAAATGAGACTATGTATAAATGATTGCTTATACAGGGTGACATAGTTGAAATTGTATATAAAAAGAAATGGATCTTTTTTAACTATTAAAAAAATACTTATTTAATAAAATAAATTAAAAGCAAGTATTTATTTAACCATTAAAAGAGAATTCTTCTAATATATCATCCTGTAGATAAATGGACAAAAATCACACAAATAAAACAGACAGAAAGTTATAAAATTCAATTATTTATCAAATCATTGAACAAACAATGTTCTAATAAGTTAAGAGAATTTATTATTCTAATAAATATTTATAACTTTCTGTCAAGAATAAATGACTTTTGGGCCGGAGGAAGTCACTAATCTAAGAAACTATGTTATAGGAAATTTTCTTTGTCAATTCTTTTCCACAACTATAAAAAATCTCGAATAAGGAAAACTAGAAGAAAATAAATTTCCTTTTTTTTGTAATTTTCATCCAGTTTCCATTATACAACCTGCCCCATTTACCGTAATGCATCCTATGCCATTCATAGTCATTCCCACCCAATTTTTTATCAATCACAACGCCATTGCCCACCCTTCTCATTCCTTTCATCATCGATTCTATCCCATCTTCCCCCTATCCTAGTATTATTTCCCAGCCATCCTATCGCATTCTCCACCAATCCTATCCCATTCACTATGAATCCTAACCCGTTCCCAACCCATCCTCTCTCATTGACTATCAATCCTATCCCTTCCCTACTAATCCTATCCCATTGACTAATAATCCTATTCCGTTCCCCACCCATCCTACCCCATTGAATAATAATCCTATCCCATTGACTAATAATTCTTTCCCGCTCCCCACCCATCCTACCTCATTGACTAATAATCCTACCCCATTCACTAATAATCTTATCCCATTGACTAATAATCCTATCCCATTGACTAATAATCCTATCCCATTCCCCACCCATTCTATCCCATTGACTACCAAACCTTTCCCGTTTTCCACCCATTCTATCCCATTGACTATCAATCCTATCCCATTCCCCACCCATCTTACCCCATTGACTAATAATCCTATCCCGTTCCCCAACCAAACCTACCCCATTCCCCGCCCATCCTACCCCATTCCGCACTCATCCTACCCCATTCCGCACTCATCCTACCCCATTCCGCACTCATTCTACCCTATTCCGCACTCATCCTACCCCATTCCGCACCCATCCTACCCCATTCCCCACCCATCCTACCCCATTCCGCACTCATCCTACCCCATTCCCCACCCATCCTACCCCATTCCGCACTCATCCTACCCCATTCCGCACTCATCCTACCCCATTCCGCACTCATCGTACCCCATTCCGCACTCATCCTACCCCATTCCCCACTCATCCTACCCCATTCCGCACTCATCCTACCCCATTCCGCACTCATCCTACCCCATTCCGCACTCATCCTACCCCATTCCCCACCCATCCTACCCCATTCCCCACCCATCCTACCCCATTCCCCACCCATCCTACCCCATTCCGCACTCATCCTACCCCATTCCGCACTCATCCTACCCCATTCCGCACTCATCCTACCCCATTCCCCACCCATTGTATCCCATTGACCCTTCCTCCGCCCATAGTACCCCCCGGCGCGCGGTTAGTATCGCCCCCCACCCCCCACATATAGGAGTACCTCTCCCGCACGTTGTTGGCCTGCCGGCGCTCTCTCTCGCGCGCCGCCTTGGTGTCGGGGTCGAGGTCGTCCTCGTCGGCGGAGGAGCAGCTGTCGTGTAGAGCGTTACACGGGTGCTTACTATACGAGTGCGGGACGAGTGCGCACCGGCCGCGGGTTTAGTACCGCGGTTCGTCTTATACACTAGTCACACGATAATGGCCCGATCGCCGACCACCTCGCGTTGAGTAAGAGACCGTTCGTCCTGTCCAGACTGCAGGATCGCCGACCGTATCGTACCGTAATCGTACCGTAAATTCTCGTACAAACACCTTAGATAAAAACAAAAAGGGTAGATACGGTACGCTCATACTAGCATCGAATAAAATATGATCCGACTCAACTACGTATGCGACTCTCGCCACGCACGCGTCTGTATATAAACATCGATCGAGCGAGCGAGACGGAACTATACGCTTCGACGCAGCGTATTGTTGTCCTTTTCTTGCTTACAAAATGGCGATTACGTAATAGGGATGCTCGATGAACATCGATATTCGATGATCATCGATGTTGAAAGCAAAAATATCGCTGTTTTTACATCGATATTAACTCACGGCCTCACGCACGATACGACCAATGCAACTTACGAAACAAAATATGTCTTTTATGAACGCATCCACAAATCAAGTTTATTTTGAACGCGTATTCATTGAGGGCGCACCTGTCGTTCGTTCCTTTCATTCGTACGTTCTTCGTCGTCTCCTCGCTCGCTCTCTCTCTCACTCCCACTCGTTTGTTGATAAAAAATTTGTTGTGCCGGTTGTGCGTGCGTCGGCTGTTTTAATTTACTCATTTGATAGTATTCTATTATTAAATCATCGATGGTATCCAACATCGATGTTCGGTTTTCGATAAATATCGAACATCGATGTCGGGCTTTCGATTATGACATCGATGTCAACATCGATGTTTTTCGAATATCGATCATCCCTATTACGTAAATAATATTCACGACAAACCGTGATTTTTGAGAAAAAAATGTTTTCACAGTTTTACGAATGAAAGGTGTTGCGGGGCATTTGATTTTGAACTACATATTTGTGTTCTTTATAAAAGCATCGAAGGCATTGTTATATCTTCATAACACAGAATATATACGCAATATTGAGTGTGCATGCAGTGTGTTTGAAAGTCAAATTGTGACTAAATCGAATTATGGTCGTGGACCACAATTTAAGCGGATCACTTTTTAGCCGCGAATGCCGTATCTTCGCTTTTTGTTTTAATCTAAGACAAATACGAGATTTCTGATCTTCCGTACGAGGGCCGAGAACACTACTCTAAACTTAAGGTTGCCTGGAAGAGATCGCTTTAAGCGATAAGGCCGCCCATTGCATCACGTGTACCAGATGGTTTTGTACAATGTTCAATGTTTTTTTGTAGTGTACAATAAAGAGTTTTTGTATTGTATTGTATTATTTTGTACTCGTATGTTCGAGATTTTGTCAGATAATTTTATAACATGATTTTTCATTGAACGCAACATGTTGGAGCGTAAACCGTAACTATCCAAATGGGTCGCTGTTTATTAACATTTTTATTTCAAGCTTGGGATTTAAAACTCAAGAAAAATTTACTGGGAAAAATATTTGTTTACAGTCTATGGTCAGTTGAGCCAGCCTATAAATTTACCAATTCTAGAGGGGGGATGCAAATCGTGTACCTACGAGATTCGAAAGCCAATTTTTTTTTTGTTTTTTTTTATTGCATAGGCATTCTCTACCAGTCAACCAGTTTGATTGTTGGAGACAAATAATAAGGCGATAGAGCAAAGTTGCTAAAAATTATGTACGAGAAAAATAATTCTACGGTTGGCAATCCTGCTAGACTGAGACTGTGTTACTGAATTCCATTTCGGACGAACGGTTTTGGTACGCACTCTGTCGGAGGTGCTCGGAGATTCTAAAGCACCATGCCGAGTGCGAGTTTATCACTATAGATCGCTTCTACGCGTTAATTATTCATTGCAAATTTAGAAAAACTACATTGCAAACATCAGAAACGGTCGCCTCGTTTGAAGAAAAAAGAAACTAGATTTTTCCAATTAATACATTGAAAATTGATTTAGAATCAAATCGTTTGTTCCTCAACATTTCAAACTTTGAATGAGAAGCAAACAGCGGCGACTTGTACGAACGTGTTTAAGCGAGTCATATGTTAAATACAACATACTATGTTGCTTTCAAGTTATCATAGTAGCGATCGAGTGTATCCAAAACTCATACTCAGCACTCTGAGTACAAAACTTATGCTATATTATATACTTTAAAAGGTTTCTGATAAATTATTCCTTAATAGGGTATTTGACAAGTTTTAGAAAACGATCTCACGTTATTAACTAATGTTTACGGAGTCCGTAAAAATTCATCATTCTGTTGTGTATTTAAGTAAAAAAAACCAAATCAAAAACTCCATTTTCAAGTTGCCGCGAAAACGTTTCTCTGGACAATATGGCGTCTTACTAGCGTGTGACGTCACACGACTGTTATAGAAACGTCAAACGATACAATGTAATGTCACTTTAACTGGAAGTTTACTTGCGTGTGACGTCATTTTAGACTCCGCCAATTGCAAGCTTTTTGGGTCACGTGACAATAGATAGGAAAACTATTATGTTTTTCGTTAGTTTTTAGTAAAATTATGAATATTTTTTTTGTAAAAAATAGTAAAAACACCTGCCAATATTCATTCTCAACACAGATTTTAATACTGTCAAATACCCTATTTTAATTTTATTTTAGAATACTTAAAAATGGACGTTGTAATTACGAAGCTATAAAAACACAGGCTAAGTACTCAGTTATACCAGTGGTCAATACTCAAAGCTTTAAAGTAAAAATCTTTATTTGACATTCATAATTTTAATGTGATCGAAATATTTGTAGAAGTATACACTATATATATATACAATAGATACTTGAAAGATTTATAAAACTGAAAACTTTTTCAGTCAATTTGAGATTCAAATTAAATGTGATTGAGTATTGGATCAAACAACAATAAAAAATCAAAGTTTAGCACTGAATTTGTATTAATAAAAACAAAAACATTCAAAATTAAACTTTATTGGGGTTAAAAAAATGTTTAAAATTCAGTGCTAAGCTATAAATGAGTCACGCGTAAAAATATGTGAATGCACTTTTTAATAAATAGCCACCCTTATTGCAATGTTAATAAGACACACATTGGTAGGACAGCTTTGTATTCATATTTTTATTCGTTGACAATACGATGGGCCTAATTCTGAAATGAATCTCTAAATCTTTAACTTGATAGTCTATCTTTATCATGCTCCATAAAGAATGAAAAGGACATACTGTTTATAATTTAATTTTAAGTTTACGAAATCACGCCAAAATTAGGCCTAGTAAGATTTTAATGTCTCATGAACTTAGCAACATTTAAATTTGTGACACTGAAGTTAGGTAGGTATAAACAGGAGTGCTATTTCGTCATAGAAGGTGTTGTGCTTCATTTCGCAGCTAACTTCAGGGTGACAAATTCAAATTGAGAATATTTGTGTATTCTGTTTTAATCATGGTAGGAATTTCATTTCTAGTGAACTGTATATATGTGTATATAAATATGTTCAGTTCGTATGTATAAAACATGTCTTTAATTGGCGCTACGAAGAAACAATTTAAGGACAATTCAAAAAAGATTTCAGGTATATGCTAATAAAGTTAATTTTCATTTAATTGTGTGGAACTAGGTTTAAAATGTAACAGCCTGTCCCCTGATCCATGTGACTTGCCTGTCAACATTTCAACAAGAAGAAACCATGTCATCCATTGAAAGTCTTCAATGAAAACTCAACTGTTGTACGGTTGTATGATGAACAGTGTATGATGTAAGGTTTTGTGACGTTATGAGATTTCATATATCTTTCATGAAACGTTTATAAACATTAAAAGCTAAGTGACGTCATTAGAAATCCTTTATGGCGGATAATTCCAGTATGACGTCATTCATACCCATTTCGTTATTTTAAAATTATACGAATACACTAATTAAAGCTTGTCTATTATAGATTTTTTTTGTGTTCTAATTCCTATTTGTATGTACCCATGAAGATTTGTGTATTCAACTATGTCTGTATACACACTAGAAATCATTTATACGTGTGTATGTAACAAGGAGTACTGTGGCGTATTGCGGCGTCTAATGTGTATCTTTAGTTACATAAATATATTTGTATATATCGACCTATCCATAGAATAAAGCTACTTCTGCATAATCACAACTTTACAGGAGAGCAATTTTAAGTTTTTAAAATGTAAAATATGCTGTAACTTGTATTGGTATTTTTCTATCATTAGAATTTTTTTATTAATCATATAAAGCATGAAGAAGCAAATTATGACGCATTTATTGTTTAAAAAAAACTACATTTACTGCTTATATTTCGTTATTTAAGAGTTTCTTATGTGATTATGTGACAGTTTACTACGGACATCTTTATGTTACATATGCATATCAGACCTTATGCTTGGGAAACGTGTCAAATTATGTGTAGATATAACTTTGTTTTACGTAATTTATATTTTCTGTCGCGTCACATTATGATAATATGGCAAAGATTGGGCAAAATGGATCAAACAAGAAAAATAGAATCAAACATTTAGTAAAAATTCTTAGTTTATAACAAAATTGAAGCCGTGCAGGCTGCGTTCTTGCTTATCCAAAAAGTTCTTGTGCTCTTGGCTCTATATTCTTCGGAAACGAAATGTACCTTTATTCAATTGCTATCTTCAAAGTTATATAAGTTTAAGAATAAATGTTTTAAGAGTAAAACATATGCGTCCGTTTCGCCTAAATGTACAATAAAAGCAATTTGGTAACATTTTCATATGTAACTTTATTCTATGCATATATCATACCGATATATGCATATATATGTCTGTATGTGTTAAATGTTCTCTAGCGCCTGGATCGCTTAGAGCCGGTGGATGTTGCATGTATATATCGATTTATCCATAGAATAAAGCTACTTCTGAATAATCTCAACTTTACAGGAGAGCGTTTTAAAGTTTGTATGGTATAAAATTTGCTCCAACCTTACATTTATTTTTCTACGCAATTAATTTCTTTTTTTAATGATAACGAAGCATTTAATTGTTGCAAAACAACTAAAATTCACGCCCATATTTTGTTACTTAAGAATATCTATTGAATTATGTACTACTGACATTATATATGCATATCGGACAGATTATTCTTGGGAAAAGTCTCATTATTATGTGTGGATATAACTTTGTATTTCGTACCTAATTTAAATGTCCTGTCACGTTGTAAATTATAATATGACGAAGATTAGGCAAAAACGGTCAAATAAAAAAATTTAACCAAACGTTTAGTAAAAATCTCGTGTCAAAAAATTTAAACTGTGCGTGCTGTGATCATGCCTATACTAAAGGTAGTAGGTAGAAGTAATATACATATATATATATATGTATACCTTTAGGATAGCATGAATGATATGTTCTTGACTCCATATTCTTCGGAAACAAAAATCGCATGTACCTTTATTCAACTGCAAAATTAAATGAGTGAGAAAAAATCTCAACATATATTATCAGTTTGGTCTTAAACAATACAATTAAACTATTTGGTACAGACGCATATGTAACTTTATACTATGTATAGGTCGATATATGTGTTATATTATAAACATATATATATGTTATATATGTCTGTGCATGTTATAGGTCGATATATATGTTATATTATAAACATATATATATATATATGTTATATATGTATGTGAATGTACTCACTACCGTCTGGATCGCTTGGAGCCGGGTGGTTTAGCGGCTAGAGCGTCGGCCGATCCGGAGGACGAAGGCTTCGAGTCCAGACCTGAGTCGGGCGGTTCTTTGCGTTTCTCTGTGACAACGAAAAAAAGATGGTGTTCATTAATTATTAATAAATCACAGATGTAAAGGTGTTATTAATTAAAGAGTAAGTTTATGAATGATTTTATTTAAACATTTAACTGCTAGATGTTTAAAAATAAAGAAGTTTTACTAGAAAAAAAAAACCACGCGGACCAGGCAGCGGACGGGACTCGAACCCGCACCTTTCGCAATCCGGGCGAATGCACTGACCAATTATGGTACCACGGCCCTTTTTTAAGCTATTGCATAGATTTTATCGCGGGCTTTGAGCGCGGCGACCGATCAAGAAATTCCGTGACGAAAATAACCTGACGAAAGTGCATATGAACACAATTTTCGCCTTTCCAGTATCGATCTAAACGGCGCAGTGTGTTAAATTTTTGCCACGGGGCCAACGTTCGACGCATCACCGCGGTCTACGGTTTAAATCCCGCACTCGTATTTTTTATTTTTTTATTATATTTTCTTTCCTTCCGCGTCGAAATTTTCCTAGTCTTAAGCTGCAAGGCAGCGCCATCTCTTCGCATTGATGGCGTAGGTGTCTAGGTGGTTCGGCTGCGATCGTTGAAATTAAGTAACCCGAAGAGTCCCGTCTGCTCCTGGTCCGCGTGGATTTTTTTCTAGTTAAAATTTTCTTTAGATTTGAGATATACAGGGTGTTAGAAAAATACAAATAAAGCTTGAAGGGCGTTGAAGTACATCATATAAGGATTTCTCTCTAATTTTCTTAAAATATTTGCATGAAGTTTTAACCTTTTACAAAAATAGTAATTTTTAATGATCCTCGAACAGTGACGTGTCTTAAAATGATCGATATTTTTATTAATCACTAAAAATAACTGTTTTCATAAACTTCATGCAAATATTTTAAGAAAATTAGAGAAGACTCCTTATATATTGTACTTCAACACCCTTCAAGCTTTATTTGTATTTTTGTAACACCCTGTATACGTAGTTTTGCATTGTCCCTTTGTACTTACTTGAGGTGGATAGCGGATGTCTTTCCAATTTGACGGCTGAATCTGGATGAAGGTGCGGCGCTAGGCGACCCCCTGATAACCAAAACAAAATAATCATTCAAACATTATCACTAATATTAAACAAATCCAGAACCTGTGTTTGGGTTTACGGTAGTCAGGGTCAAACAAATAAACGCAAAAATGTAAAAAGTATTAAATAAAGTTGTTTACTAATTAAATTAGCTAATAAATTCATACACAGACAACATAAATAGTAATAAATTATATTTTTCATTATTTTAAAGCATTTAACTGCTTGATGTTTAAATCTAAAGAAAATATAACTAGAAAAAATTCCACGCGGACCAGGCAGCAGACGGGACTTGAACCCGCACCCTTCGCAATCCGGGCGAATGCACTGACCAATTATGCTACAGCGGCCCTCACGGACCGCGTCAAAAATCTTCTAGCCATTCTTAAGCTACAAGGCAGCGCCATCTCTTCGCAGTATTCATTTGACTTTGTGGGTTACCTATAATGCGGGTTCGAGTCCCGTCTGCTGCCTGGTCCACGTGGAATTTTTTCTAGTTATATTTTCCTTAGTAATAAATTGCTCAATAAAATATCCGAACTCTCAATGAAAGCCTTTCGAAGGCAGCTCGACGAAAGTAAAGAAAAATCATAATACTGACGACGCAGCCTGAAAAAGGATGCGAAACGCCATAAAGATATATATTTGCCAACCGACATTAAAGATTTCAATTTATTGGAATTTAAATTTAAATTAAAGAAATGGTTACTAGATAAATGTTTTTGCCGCTGATAATGAATATTGTACGTCCGAAACGGGCAGCTGTTTAGAACTAATGAGACATTACTTGTAACATCATTGTACTCAGCATGATAATAAAGCTTTCTATTTCTGTTAATTAAAAATATATAATAAATTGATATAACTCACCAGGCTGGGGTTGGTGCGGCAAATGCTCTTGTGGGTACAGATCTGCAGCTTCCGCGTGATTCCGTAAAACATTTATCGCGTCATCTAACCTTTCTTCCATACGAGCACCCTGTATAGAGAACAAGTAACAGAACCTGTATAGTGAACGAGTAACATAACCTGTGTAATAAACAAGTAACTACCTGTATAATAAACAAGTAACTACATGTATAATAAACAAGTAACTACCTGTATAATAAACAAGTAACTACATGTATAATAAACAATTAACTACCTGTATAATAAACAAGTAACTACCTGTATAATAAACAGGTAACTACCTGTATAATAAACAAGTAACTACCTGTATAATAAACGGGTAACTACCTGTATAATAAACAAGTAACTACCTGTATAATAAACAAGTAACTACCTGTATAATAAACAAGTAACTACCTGTATAATAATAAGGTAACTACCTGTATAGTGAACAAGTAAGACATCTGCTTGTATATCAGTGTTATAGGATAGTCGACTTTTGAAAATATTACACAGGCTTTTCGGTACGTATATTATTATTATCGATTATGTCAATAATTTAAAAATCTGGTAAAATTCTTTAAGCCTTGACAACAGTGTACCCTTGTCAATTTCTAAACAAAACTAAAAGAAGAGGCTGTTGTCAAACAATTTTTTATGTTTAGAAAGGTGTTGATTCTGGCATGATTCTCTGAACTGAAAACTTAATTTAACATGAGTCTATCCTTTTCATTCTGCATAGAGAATGACAAGGATACACTGTTGTCAAATTTAATTTTAGGCTCAGAGAATCATGCCGGAATTGATACCAATATTTTACTTATTTTAATCAGTTGAGTTTGAATTTTAACCTTTCTTAATAATATTTGTTCCTAATTCATTCATACAAAAATCATTTACTACTTCGAAAAACCACATTTAAAAACGCATGCTCTACTAAAAAAAAACAGCAAAACTTCAAACATCTACAAAAACATTAATTCCAAACTTTTTATTTTTTACTAACTATAAAAAAATCAAACGTTTAAATATGTTTTCGCGTCTTCAATAATTTATATTTTATGAAATAAGGTTTAAATTAGGCATAAACAATATTATTACGGTACAACCGTAATAATATTGTAACCGTACCACACCCACAAGAGCACATTGCAAAGAATACAAAGCATTTTCAATAAAAGCTTCTTCTATGGCTCAATGTTTAACTCTGTCGAATTGAAATGAGATGGCATTATATCGCTGTCCAATTTACATTGCATTAAATAATAATAGCGACATCTACAATCACCCCTTGTAACTAAACGGAGCAAGATGTTACGCTTCGTGTCAACAGATGGCGCTACTTATTGCGGCAATGGCGGATATTCATGTGTAATAGGGGTGATGACGGGGTACAGTAAACGAAATTCTATTTAGTCCGTGAGTTAGATGATCAAAAAATAATGGACACGTATTTTTTCTTTGGGCAATCAACCAAAAAATGACAAAGTTATAGCTCGTCAAAGTTTGGGAGTAGGGGCTCGTGACGTCACTTTTGACTGAATTTTCACTTAAAAGTGTACCAAAACGTGACGTCATGCGACTTTTCAAATCAATATATCTCTGCAATGTTTACATTATGTAAAAAAAGAAAAAATATGTGTCCAATACTTTTTGATAATCTACCTGATAAACGAAGAAAAAAAATTAGTCATCATTCCTATTGACGATTAGTATGGAAACCTACATCACGCTAGTAAAATTTCGAGGCTCATACAACTATTATAAAGCTATAATCTTCGATTATATACACCCTAGATAACGTTTTAACGTTCACGGAAGCCGCACAAAAAATATCTACTACAAATGGTAGATATGTTCGTGTCGTTCATACACACGCACACATCGACTGCTTTATTTATTACAATCTGACATTAGCGTCACGCACGAAATTGCGCGAATAAGGGGCCGTTTTCCTTGCGTCATTAATTTGGATTGCTTAATCTTAATACGATTTTAACTTTAAACAATCATATTGAACGATACTGCTACAAATCTATTCAGGAAAGCGAGCAAATCGTAATAGGCATTTTTACTTGTTTGACTGAAAATAAAAAGAGTTTCCAACGGTATGAATGCACTGATTCATTTATTTATGACTTTTCGCTATCTTTTCAGGGTGCGTCGTCAGAATAATCATCATCCATCAGCCTGAGAAGGGTGCGAAACATAATAAATAAATAAATCAGTACCCTTAGCACGAACCATTATCGAATTCGAATAGTTTGCGAGTCCGAAATGTCATCGTCAAATTTTGTATGGAAACTTGAACCGCAGCGCCACAACGGACGCCACAACTAAAAGTCAGTACAAATTTGACAATGACATTTCGTACTCGCAAACGTTACGAATTCGATATTGGTTAGCGCTAACGGTTCAGTGCATCTATACCGTTGAAACTTGCTTTATTCAATGAACGGTGTGCGTGAAAACCTAAGAAGCAAATATGATAACTTGATATATATATATATAAATATATATCATATATATATCATATATATAGATATATATATGCGTACTTACGCCGACATCGGAATGTTCCCTGAGGAACACCATCGCCTCGTCGAGCTGCCTCTGCTCCGCGGGCGCGCCCTACAAAGGTTACCCGTCAGAGGGGAATCCGCTGACACTGACACCGAGTAGAGAGTAGTGTGCTTAGAGAACTACCCGCACGAAACTTAGAAAACTACCCGCACGAAACTTAGAAAACTACCCGCACGAAACTTAGAAAACTACCCGCACGAAACTTAGAAAACTACCCGCACGAAACTTAGAAAACTACCCACACGAAACTTAGAAAACTACCCACACGAAACTTAGAAAACTACCCGCACGAAACTTAGAAAACTACCCGCACGAAACTTATAAAACTACCCGCACGAAACTTAGAAAACTACCCGCACGAAACTTGGAAAACTACCCACACGAAACTTAGAAAACTACCCACACGAAACTTAGAAAACTACCCACACGAAACTTAGAAAACTACCCACACGAAACTTAGAAAACTACCCGCACGAAACTTAGAAAACTACCCACACGAAACTTAGAAAACTACCCGCATGAAACTAGATGGACAAAGCGCTCAGTAGACAAATTGTGTATCGTAAAGTCAGAAAAAGGCATAAACTCAGTGATACCTTGCCTTTGAGAGAAAAGCACTGGTTTTCAGTTTTGGCTAGAAAAAAACGTAAACAGCTGGACTATTTTGCATCAATACCTGCTGAGCGAAAAGGGACTTCTATACTCAATAACAATAAGTCCTGTGTGGAGATTTCTCTAGTAAATTAGAAAACTCTTTAGATTTATAAATACAGCAGTTTGATGCTTAAAAACAATACAATCATAATGGGAGGGTTATTACAAATAAAGTAACTCTGAAACTACCAAAACAACTGGACTGTTATGCATAAATACCAGCATAGAGACGACTATCTATATAATTACGCTTCCGTATAACAAGAAGCTTACGCTGGATCACAAGACTCCCCTACGTAAAGGAACGCAAAGAGAGGATTTTCAAATTCAACAAGACATCGATTTATCAACGTAATGGGAATACGCTATTTGCCAGTACAAAAAATACCAGTACCAATTGTTGCCATCTTTATTTCATATGAATATTAGCAGCGATTCTACTATCTCGGAGAAAAAATAATTAATTACTTTCCTACAAAAAATAATTAATAGACATTATGTTTTTTTCTTCTATATTCACGTGACCGAAAACGCCTGTGATTGGCGAAGATCAAAACGACGTCGCACGCTAGTAAACTTCCGGTTAAAGTGACGTTACAATGTACCGTTTGAAGTTTTTATAACAGTCGTGTGACGTCACATGCTAGTAAACCGCCATAATGTCCGGAGAAGCGCTTTCACAGCAACTTGAAAATCTATTTTTTTTTTTTTTTTTACTGAATTACACAAGACAATGTCGAATATCTTTTTATGGACTCCATATACATTAGTGAGTAAATAACGAGAGATCTAGCCTGTGGTTATAACTTGCGGGATGGATGGATGGATTGCGGGATCAAGATTGTTCTAAATAAGTAGATGATAATTCCAAAACTGTCCCAAGAACTCACTATTAATATATTTATTAAACATAATGATGTTGAGTAACTTGTCAAAATTTTACACGACCCCAAACAGCTATATATTATGAGCAATCCAATATGAATGGCTGATTTCTAGGCTAATTTTAACAGCGATATACGCTGCGATAAAGCTTTTCGCAGAACTTCCTGATCTAATCCTAAACTAGACTAGACTAGAATATCGGGGGACTCACCGACAACAAGGCAATCACGTTAGTAACTATAATGTTTAGCGACCATGAAACTTTAAACAATATACAAGAAACAGATCAAAGACATTTACAAAAATAACCTCTATTAACTCACAACAAGGTCTATTATCCTATGATCGATAGAATGACATCTCAGATCATTAAAATGGCCATAGAGATTTCTACTAAAAGCTAAATTACATAGCTAACCTAAGTTACAACTCTTAAAGCATGCACTCGCAAAGGGCGGCAAGTCATTAAACAGACTTGATTAAGACAACCAAAAAGATAAACTAAATAAAAACACAACAAAATTTTATAACTATGGTAGAATATTAATTTACAAAAATGAAAAACCAAAAAAAAATGTATTAGCATCAAACCACACTACTGCTACAGCTAAGTGTCAGAATGGCGGGTTCCAAACGCTCTTATATATATAAATATTAAGATTAAACAAAATGGCAGCTTGCGTCAATACTAGAAACACTTATCTTTACCTATCAAAAACTGTCAATTTCTCAAAATTAATAATTATGAGCTTAATCATGCTCGATATAAGATATACAATCGATTTTATTAATAACAAACGAGGCATAAGTTTAGTCTAGTTACGCTGTGTTTTGTATATACAGGCTGTCCCACGGTTTTGTCACACGGAGGGAAAGTATATTAAATATTGAAGATAGGATATTTTACGGAAAGAAGACATACTTTTATTTTGAATAATAAGTAGATCTGTATTCATAGTTTTTAAGAAATCGCTTGGCAAAACCGGGAAATGAGAAACAAAAAACACATGTATTTTATGATAACCGTCGAAATGTTTATCATGAGGATTATGTTTTCGAAAAACTATTTTTGGAAGCACAATTTTCTTAAACAAAATTTTAATTTTATGATCTTCCTAACATTTAAATGCTATTTTATTCAGGAGAAAATAATCCTTTTAAATAATTCTTTCGTTGGTTATCATAAAATACATCATATTTTATTTTTAAAAAATCCGTAACATCAATTCTCGTCATTATTAAAAATAAAATGATCTGCTCTTTCAGTAAAATATCCTTACTTCAATATTTAATATACTTTCCCTCCGTGTGACAAACCCGTGGGACGCCCTGTATATAACTAAAAGACCATTTGTTATTCCATGAACAGAGACAAGAAATTAAGTAACTAATTCAAGCATAAGCTTGGACTTACGTTTATTAATAAGGGGAATAAGTTTCTAGCTAGAAACTTGAGGTACAGCTGTACCTCAGTTTTATCAGCGATAACTCTGGTCAACTTACTATAAAATCTAAAGTTTATTATCCAGGTCGAGAAATTATTCAGTCGATTCCGTTTACCAAAAATAACAAAGCTAAGTTTAATCAAACCAAATTTTAACTATAGTTAATAGAACTAATTGTGGAGAATTAAAAACTAAAAATGTCTCATAGTATTGACGCAATCGTACCACAGAAATAAGAAAACACATCAAAACAATCACAAAGTAAAACTTGTACGAACATAATAAATTGAAGAAAAAAATACACAAATATATAAAATTATATATTTTACATGGTTTAATTTATTATCTTCGTACAAGATTTACGTAAAAATTAATCACATCAACACACAAAATAATAATTTCTAATAACCGTATTTAAATCGAAAATAAAACACATTTTAAACAACAAAAAAAAATAACAGTCCCGCGAGTGTAAATATCACAATTACCTGTTTCAAAAACTGCAAAAGAAATATTTATAAATTGGTCAATGGGTGTTGGATTTTAGACCTTATGTCTTTGGCACAGCTAATAATTTGCTTTGCTGATAACTGTTAAAATTGTGTCTTCACATTCGTTGGACTGTCGATTCAAAAAACGAAACTGAAAATAAATATCCTCAAATGAATCGTTTCAAAAAGCATAATTAATTTACATCCATGCAAAATACATGCTTTTCTTTGGATTAACGAAATTACCAGTGGTTGACCGAAATTGGCCCATTAAAAGTTTTCAAACTTTAAAATTTTACTGTCAAACCACAGAACACAGAAACAGGTTAGAAGGATGATCATAGACCGTTTGTACGGGAACCGATGTTGCCTACTCGCCCCCACTACATTTCCACCTAATAGATAATAGCCAATCAAACGACGCGACATTAAGCAATAGACCCGATCAGCGCTCATATCCGAGAGCGACGACGCAATCAGAACCAAGTTTTGGTCAAGTTATGAGCATTTGCTCACACATAACTGTGGCGCGCCTGCCCGGTCCACAACGCCCTTTTAACCTTTTTCTGTGTTCTGTGTGTCAAACAATATAGTTCTAAAATTATTGTGGGTTAGGTGTGTGTGTGTAATATACTTTGGTAGTTAGTGAAAATCGTGCGTCATTTATTTTCCAATATCTCTTATCTATTAGACAAGTCCGTCCGTCCGTCTGTGGTGCTGTTTCAGCGGCCAAACCGTAAGAGATAGATAAAGAGAATATTTAAGTTATAAGTTAAGAATAGTCTGATAAGACTACAAACCGGATTTGAGTAACGTAGCACTTCCGGTTTTCGAGAAATCGCGAATTTCAAACGAAACCACACAAGTTCTCAACTAATTAAATACATTTTTTTTTAAATCAGGTTTTGGTGAACATTCGGTTCACCGGTTTGCTAGTTTAGTTTCTAATTTAGTTAGGTTCTAGTTTAGTTTGAAACTTTTTTATCTCCATTAAGATTTGTCTCGCAGTGTAGGGTGAGCGTGTTATAGTCATTCGGCGCTATCGTTTCAGTGAGTGTAGTATGGGAGACACAGGAGTATTGTAGACGAAGAAGTCGATGTTCGGAGCGGCTATAGTATAATGTTGATGCACTCACCATCTGCGGGGGGTGGTAGGGCGGCGCGTGGTGCCCGTTGGTGGCGGCCGGAGACACCACGCCGCTGCCCGCCCACGCGGCCTAACACCACAGGAAAACACTCATTCAATATCATCATCATCATCAGCCTATCGATGTCCCCACTGCTGGGGCACAGGCCTGAACCTATGGATGGAAGGGGGCGTCCATAAATTACGTGAGGTGTTTTTTGAATTTTCTGTTTTTTTTGTTTCAATCAGAAAAAAAATGCGTGATGTTTGCCGAGACCCCCCCTCTCTCCAATGTAAGATTAGATGAAATTTGAATCAACTCCCTCCCCCCCCCCTTAAACATCGGCCCATGACCCACCATGCGGGCCCAGTGCGGATTGGTGGGTGCTAACGACTGGAGATACGACGAGGACCAACGGCTTAACGTGCCTTCCGAAGCACGGAGAAGCTCGAGATAGTAAATTTTTGGTCACCAATCCAATGACCGAACACTGCGAAAGTTGCTTAACTTCAACGATCGCAGCCGAACGCGCTAACCAGTTGCACCATCGAGCTCCTCATTCAATATTATAATAATACTTAATATTTCCAACGCTCTCACCAATCAACCTAGCCTCAAAGTTAGCACGTTAGGCTTGTGTTATAGGCAGTGCAGTCTTTGACCTTTTGGAGGCCCTGGGCATATTAAGATAATGGGGCCCCTATGACTTCCGTTTGGTGATTTAACAGGAACTAGGGACTTTGTATTTGATCTGAGGGGGCCCCCTATCGATCGCGGAGCCCTGCACTTTGGGCAAGTGCCCACTGGGAAAGACGAGACTGGTTATAGGATACTAGGGTAACGGACGGGCGTCCCATAGGTTTCTCACACGGAGAAAAAGTATATTAAATATTGAAAATAGGATGTTTTATTAAAATAAGACATCATCTTATTTTTAATAATAACAATACTGAATCACAGATTTTTTTTTTAAAATCTCCTGTCACAATCGGGAATCAAACTCTTGTAATGTGAAACAAAAAACATGACGTGTTTTATAATAACCATCGAAAAGTTCAATCATAACGATTATTTTTTCCAAAATAACGCAGCATTTTAAAAGAAAAAAATAGCATGTAATTACAAATTTGTCCAGGAAAATTTCCTCCTACTTTGATTGTTATATTTATAAGTTTTTCTTTTGTTAAGATAGCCAATAAAAGGTTTTCATTTCATTACTTGTCTCCTCACCTGCACGTTGTGATGAGGCGAGTGCTTGAGCGGAGGGTACAGCCTCGCGTGATGCAGCGGGGGCGGGGAGTGCACCGGGGTGGAGGGCGACGACCCGTACGACGACAGCGACGCCTCTACCCCTCCGCCTACCCCGGCGCCTACCCCGGCGCCTACCCCGGCGCCTACCCCGGCGCCTACCCCCGCGACTACCCCCGCGGGCATCACCACCCCCGACCCTATACTGCTCACGTTCACGCCCGGGACGCTCACGTTGCTCACGCCGGCGTACATCTATGCGATACATAAAAAAAAAATGTCTGTAAAGTCGGTTTAGGGACGATAAAATTGATTCAAAATTCAATATCGTTTTAAAAAAATGCTTGTCGATAAAGTAGGTTTAAGGACGATAAAATTGATTCAGAAATCAATATATCTTTATTGAAATTGGATGTATAGTACAACACTTTTGAATCGTCCAATCATTTTTTTCCCTACCACTCGTTATTGGACATATTTTTTTAGCTGCGGAGAAAAATGAGCGAAAAAAACTCCACAACATTAAAAGATTAATGTAACAACATTTACAAATCATTATGTTGTTACAACGTCAATACAATCATGATTTATTTAATATAGAACACCTGTTGGAATGATTGGAACAGTTCAAACCCAAGCATTTTGTCTGTAATATAATCAGACACTTTGTAATAAGCTTTTTTAATAAGTGCTTTTTTTATACTATCTTTGAATTTATTTATGCTTAACTCTTGGATATTGCTTGGGACTTTATTGTATAAGCGAACACAGAGACCTTTAAATGAATCATTGATTTTGTGAAGCCTAGTAGCAGGTAAAGTTAGTTTATTTTTGTTTCTTGTATTAAGTGTGTGAATATCACTGTTTTTAAGAAACAAATTAATACTGCTGCAGAATAGAGCTATTCACTCTCTTCTGCAGCAAAAAAATAGTTTGAATGTCGGCGGCGTTTCCCCACAATAAAATTCCATACGACATTACACTATGGAAATAACTAAAGTATACTAATCTGGCCGTATCTACATCCGTTAACTGGCGTATCTTCATTACGGCATATGCTGCAGAACTAAGTCTATTTGACAATTTATCAATATGTGGGCCCCATTGAAGCTTAGAATCTAAAGTAATCCCTAAGAATACTGTGGTGTCTACAAGGCCCATATTCCTATCCTTTACATTCACACTGGTTTTTACCTGTTTTACATTAGGTAATACAAATTTCATACATTTCGTTTTTCCTTCATTTAGTAATAAATTATTAACATTAAACCAGTGGACTACCTTAGAGATACAACTGTTCACGTCGTCAATAACTGTTTCCTTACGTTTGAGTTTAAATAAAAGTGATGTATCATCCGCGAACAATACTATCTCATGCTTAGGTATCTCTAACGTAGTAAGGCAAGTCATTAATATAAATTAAAAATAAGAAAGGACAAAGGATTGAGCCCTGTGGAACCCCCATTTTAACCGGCGAACCCGCAGACTTATTGCCGTTAATGTCAACCCTCTGAATCCTATCCATCAGGTATGACGCAATAAGATCCAGATCAGTATCTTTAAATCCATAGTGGTGGAGTTTCCTGAGTAATGTTTCATGAAAAACGCAAACGCATTTAAATGTGATTGCATTTGATCTAAAGTTTGTGGGGTCTGGTGTACTTCCCGTTTTATGCAAAGGAGTTATTTTACTTTATTTCATGAGGCCAGGAAAAACACCACAGTCAACACAATCATTAAATATGAAAGCTAGAATAGGAGCTATTGTCTCAATTACCGATTTAGAAACATCAACGGAATTGCCCCACAGATCCGCGGTTTTCTTTTTATTTAATTGGTGAAACGTTTTAATTGCATCTTTAAGGTCAACATGTTTAAAATGAAAATGACTAGTACAAGGTTTCACGTTTTCTCGGCAGCAATGGGGGAAGAGTTCAAAGATTTAGTAGTTGTAACTGGAATATCAGTAAAGAAATTTTCGAAAGCTGTAGCAACTTCAATATTTGAAGTAACCCTTTTATTATCAATATTTAAGTTATAATTATTATTGCGAGTTTTGGATTTTCCAGTTTCATCGTTTATTCCATGTCGTTTTGATTTTGTCATTACTGTTCTTAATCTTTGAACTTATGTAATTTGATTTTGCTAAGCGGCATACTTTTTTAAACAATTTAGAATAGTTACGAACATGCTCTTTAAATTTTTCACTAGTGTTACAGTTTCTTTCATTATAAAGTTCATAAAGTGTCCTTCTACTTTTATGAATTCCAGGCGTAGCCCACTTAGTAAAAGTTACCGCATCATTAACACAGATTTTTTTGGATACAAAAACATTATTAAATTCAGTGCAGTATTATTACAAACATTCAAAATTCAATATCGTTGTAAAAAAATGCTTGTCGGTAAAGTCGGTTTAAGGACGATAAAATTGATTCAAAATTCAATATCGTTTATTCAGTCTAGGCTGTGTTACGAGCACTTGTGTTGTGAATGTCGAAAAGCTACGCCATCGGTTCGTAAATTTACGGCGGGAGACCTTGTACTGAGAAGAACCGGCAAGAAACTCAGCAAGGGCTGTTTTTTTCTCCCTGTATTATAATACAAAGTCGTTCAATTGAAAAATGACTGCAATATACTCATGAAGTCGCTTTCCATGACAAATGTAAATGATATAAAATTATGACAGCGAAATAAAAAAAAGAAAGTGGAGACTAAGATGAAACACACACACAGATAATAAAAAAAAGAAATCTGACACAAAGAGTTCAAGAAATCTTTACAACTACCAGTCATCAAAAAAACCGGTTTTCCTACAAAGCGAAATCAAATCGGTTTGAATCAATTTAGCGGTTTTTAAAGGGTTTCATTTCGCTCCGTATGACGGCCGAAATAAATACACAACTACAAAACTAATAACTCGACTCACTAGACGCTAGCAAACGTGTCAATAAATGCATCAATCTATGAGCATCAACAAGTTGTGTAACTTAATTAGTTCAAACAAAACAAACTTCAATCGATGCCGACGCGTGCACGCGTCGCTCTGGATTAAACCGGTTTATCAAGGTTTTAGGTACCGCACTCCGAACGAAACCTTTACCAAAAACCGGTATTAACCTTTATTTACCGGTATTTTTGAAACCGGTTTCAAGCCCCGGTCTTTGCATCCTGCAGTGTGTACTCACCGGCTGCAGCGTCGGTTTCCCCAGCAGCATGGGGTCGGTGGGGGAGTGCAGCGGCGCGGCGGCCCGGAACGAGGACATGGGGGGCAGGGGGAGCTCCGCGCCGCCCGCCTCGGCGCCGCCGCCCGCCGCCGCCGCCGCTACGCCTGTCGGTGGGAAACGCGACGCGAATCAGCAAAATTCATTACTTAGATCCTGGGTTCCGAACCTGGGGGTAATTACCCCTCCGGGGGTAAATCGGCCATACTTGGGGGGTAACAAAGAACCTAATTATTTGGTCAAATCTAAATAATAAGAAAATACTAGATAATAATACTACTAAATAGAGCATGCGCTCCTTCTTGCTAGCGAGCCCGCGGGGTGCTGAGTGTGGGAAGCGGGGCGCGATTTTCTCCTGATGATGACATTATTAGAGACGAAGATGCAGCGGCCAAATTGGAATTTCTTGGACTGATGATAACATTTAAAGTCGGGGTAAAATCTGTTTTCCTAATAGGTTACAGGGGTAGCCGTATTCAAGGTTAGGAAACACTGACTTAGATAGATAGACAGATAGATATTATAGCTATTAACGGGATTGTTACCATGTACCTTGCTTTTTACGAGTCTCTGATATTTCGGCACTGTTGCAAGCGCCATGATCACGGAGTATTGTGTGTCGGGAACAGGTGCGAGTGAATAGTGAGAATGTGACCGGGACCGGGATAGGTTTATTGCTGGTGGTTGACGCGGTTTTTATTGCTTCGCGGACAAAAAGCCCGCCCCGCCTCGTCGTCTGTAAAGCGACTTAAGGAAGTATGTTCTAAGAGCCATACCTGGCGACGTAGCGTAGGGGTCGTGCTGGTAGGGCGGCGGGGGCTGGTAGTAGTTGGCGGCCCACTCGCCGCCGCCGCCGTAGTAGGGCTCCTGGTACGGCGCGCCGGCGCCCGCGCCTTTAGGTGACGCGTACCGACTTGGGGAGTCGTGGCCGAACTCGTCGCTGCCATACTGGAATACGCAAAACATGACACATTGAATACGGTGTGAAACAGAGGTTGGTTTTCCGCTGGAATTAGACGCCTGTCTGGGAAAGTAACCTTTCACCTTGCAGATAACAATTTCTTTTTTTTTAACGTTCTCTCTTTTTATGGAAGGCAAAGGGACAATGCCCATACAGCTTAGTCTTCAGATTTCTTTTTGTTTACATAAGAAGATGGGTGTGACGCATTCTAATCTTTCTTGAAGTATTTGGCACGAAATGTATCGAGCCAGCTTTCTCGATAAGCTACTGTGCGATAGTCAACACTACAATAAAGTTCTCACGTCCACTTGACCGGAATCACGTATATTTTAAAAATTCCACTAATTCTTTGTGCACAAAATTACACCAATTTTATTTGCCAATTTTTCAAATTACATAAAATTTTAATTAATAGTACAGTATCCAATTGTAAAATTTAAACATCCAGCAATGTTTAAAAAAGTCAAAATATAACAAACTCAAAATCAACTTGCCATTCACGACATTATCGAACGAAAATCGATAAAAATCAATATTAAATACTTACAATAACGCAGTAGCTACCAAAATGGAAACCAATGACGCCTGTGTACATAATTGACAACCATTTTGAGATTATGTTAAAAGAGCTGTCACATATCGAAAATGCGACCGATGAAATATTGAACGCAAACCTGATTTTGGCAAGACAACATTGTAAACTGATTGACTTTACTTAGCTAAGCGTATTTAGTATAAAAAAAACCAGACAAGTCCGATTCGGACTCGTCCACCGAGGGTTCCGCACAAATTTATAGGTACACGAGTTGGATTTTTTCACAGCTTAAACTAGGGTTGCCAACCCTACTATCTATATATATATAAAACTCAAAGGTGACTGACTGACATATTGATCTATCAATACACAGCCTAAACCGCTGGACGGATCGGGCTGAAATTTGGCATGCAGGTAGATGTTATGACGTAGGAATCCGCTAAGAAAGGATTTTGATCAATTCTACCCCCAAGGGGATAAAATAGGGAATGAAAGTTTGTATGAAACTTTGCCAATTTAAAACCGATCGGGCTGAGACTTTGCATGCAGGTATGAGAAGAATCATAGATGAATGTCATTGTGTATAATACAAGCCTGAGAACAAAAACTGTAGTCTACACTTCAGCTCTACACCGAAGCGAAGCGAGGGCGGGCCGCTAGTATATATATCTATGAGTGATGCGTGCGCTGCTCCATTCCCCTATGCCTTATGCACCGCCTAATGTTAGATTATTAAAGAAAAGAAGTTTTCAGTTGTGTGCTCTGTGCAAACAATTTTTTTCTTTTGAAGTAAGGATCCCTAAAAAACCCCATGTGTCCGCATGTGTAATGGATATTGCATAGATGTTTGTTAGCAATTATAACACTAGGTTTGGTGAACAGTCGGAGAAGTGGTTTAACCGTAAAATAAACTTCATGTCTTAGAATAATTCTAAACTTAAACTAAAAAAAATAAAAATCATAAAATTTTAAATTCTTTTTTCAAAACCAATAATAAAATTTTGAAACCAATTTTTCCCAAATATTTTTATCATCGTAAAGCCCTTCAAATTCCGCGTCTTTTGATCCCTCATACGTTCTCGTAGCCCTAAACCTCGGGGTATCACGGGCGAGTCACACTTTCAGCGAAAATGGGAGCCTACTGGATCGAACGAAAAAACATTATTAATGTTAAAAATGCTTCCTTCGCGCATTACTACAATTATTATGTACGTGCAGGCGATAATAGCTGACAGATCAAATGATCGAATGAAGTCATTTCAAGAGTATACCATTTACAGAAAACATAAATGTAAGTGTATTTATTATTAATAGCTCTGTGCCATGTTTAGACAGGTTGTTGAATAAAAGATGTTGAAGCCTTTATGATATATTTTTATCCACGTTCAATGTTGAAAAATAAATTTGTATCATTAATAAATTACCATAAAGAAACCAGACCATATATATCCCTAGAAATGATTTTACTACTCGTACTTGAGTTGGTGGCACAGATTTAATTTTACTTTTAGGGTTTAAGTTGAGTATATGTATTATCTAAATGTTTAGTGGTATTATTTTACCGACCGCTATTGGTTACTTCCCCAGTCGGGCGCTCCAATTCGAGCGTATACCTGTCTTCCCCCCCTAATAATAAACGAAGACTAAACATTCATAACTTACTCCATCTTATAATTTTTATTTATAAGCATGTAACTGCTTGATGTTTAAATCTAAAGAAAATATAACTAGAAAAAAATCCACACGGACCAGGCAGCAGACTGGACTCGAACCCGCACCCTTCGCTATCCGGGCGAATGCACTGAACAATTATGCCACCGCGGCCCTGACGGCCGCGTCAAAATTCCTCTAGCCATTCTTAAGCTGCAAGGCAACGCCATCTCTTCGCATTGTAGGTAACCCACAACGTCAAATGAATAATTTTACAAGTACCAAACATTTGAAAGAAGAATCGCAATATAGTATTATTACTCCATGTTTTGAATTTGTTTTAAATTTGAATGACAAATGGCATGTGAGTAGGTGATTATTGGGCAATTTAAAATACATTTTACTCCCGGCTCTCACGTTTGTTCGATCCAGTCGCGGTTTCGATAAAAAAAAGTGTTTGGAAAATGCCTAATCTGAACGCTCGCGCAGCTCGCTACGTTGAAAACACATTTCACGCCAGGCTCTTACGTTCCTTCGATCCTGTCGCGGTGTTTTGAAATGCCCAATAATCGCCTACTCATGTGAGTGACATGAAAAAAACACGGAGTAATTAGTCTAGGCTTACACCTCGTTCATTAATAAGGTTGTTAATGTCTATGGATCCGAGTTTACGTTAATCATCATCATCATTAGTCTATTAATGTCTCCACTGCTGGGGCACAGGCCGTCTCTATGGATGGAATAGGGAGATTGGGCCATGACCCACCACGCGGGCCCACGCACGGTGGAATATGGTAGAACAAACGCATATCAAAATTGATTTTTATTACTGATTGAAATTGGGTAATATATGAATATAATTTAATAGTTCAAAAGTCGAAGTTTAATATTCTGCAGCGTAATTCATATTTTATTTCGTAAAAGTACTTTTTTTCAGGTAGCAAAGTTAAACGTTTAGGCAGCTGGGAAATATTAAGTTCTTCATTTACGTTTTTCAACGTGAAATAGTTTTAAAACTTGAAATGAAAGGTATAAGGTATTATATATTTTTGAAAAGCACATTTATCAGAGGTTAGAAATAAATACAATTGATTATTTTTAATACGAATATAAATTTAAAAACCAATTTAAAGAAAAAATGGAGAAATATTTTTTTTTCCTCAACTTCGTCGAATCTTTTAACATTTAGAGTTGCTTACCGATGCTTTGAATTTAATGTTAAATTATAGGTTAGTTACTCATCTAAAACATATAAAAAAATTAGCTGCGGCTTTTTGCGGTTTTCGGAGATATGTGAAAAAATCGAATACTAGTCTGGGAACGGAAATCGCTATCAAATGCGGTTTCGTAGTTTACTTTTAATATCAATAGTTTGTGGTACATTTTATGAATTAATTATTTGATATTGTTATGTAGGTTTTATCATTTCGATGTCATTTTCCGTGAGAAAATAGATATCTTAAATAATTCCCACATTCTGAAACAATATAAAAAGAGCAGTGAAAAAATATGTCTCCATTACCGTTTCAGTGGTCTTTACGTCAACGTACTCTAGTATTAGTTAGTAGTTATTTCATTATTCAACATGTCTACTTTTAACTGTACTAAACGTGAGTTAATAGTGTCTTATATAGAAGGCGGAAAAACGACTGCGGCACTTTCAACATATTTGGAGGGAAAACAAATTTCGGGTGTCAATATATGTTTTATTATTGACCATATTCAAAGGGATGTCATCCCTTCGTTTAATAAACGCTGGAGTGAAGCAGGACGCAATAAAAATACCTTTTTAAGAAAGAACACCAATTGGTTGGATTCTGAATATTCGTTAACTATACCAACATCAGAAAACGTGTCAACAGACTCTACACCGTCTACTTCTTCTGGTAAACGAGGAAGACCGTGTGTGTCATATGGAGACTCTTCAGAATCAAGCAAAAAAAGAAAAAACACCATTTTGCTAAATGAATATGGTTTGGAGCACATTCTAAGCGCATATCTTCAAGGATTGCGTTCTATAGGAGAAGGAATTGAAGCAAAAGTTGTTGAAAAATTAAGGTTGGCTGATGCAGAGAAAAAGGTTTTCGTTATAAATCAATTAGATGATGCAAAAATAATTAAAGGGCTTACAGATGAAGAAGCATTAAGTGTCTTCATTGACTTGGAACTAACAAAGGCACAATATCTGTATCTCAGGAACGTTACAGATGAAAGAAACTGTTCTTTATTTCCACCATACTATAAAATACAGGAAATGAAACAGAGGTGCTATCCACCATCATCAACAATCGAAATCACAAATACTTATGCAAAAATATTGAGAGTTCAAGATCTATTGGATCACACTGCAGCTCGAATTTTATCAATAGATAAGGTTTACAAGAATGGACAAAAACATTTACTATTGTATAGCAAATGGGGTTGTGATGGGTCATCTGGACAAAGCCAGTACAAGCAAGCACTACCAGAGGAGTCTGAACTTATTTCCGATGCAAATTTATTTATTACTTCTTTTGTGCCTATCAGATTAACTGACGTGGAATCAGGCGCCATCACATGGCAAAATCCAGTGCCTTCATCTGTTCGTTTCTGTCGGCCTATATCTATAGAATTTTGCAAAGAAACGCCAGAAAAAACTAAATCGGTTGTAGATGAAATAAAAAATCAAATACAAACTATGCTTCCATCAATAATTAATATAGAGAGGCGTGGGAGTCCAAGTCAAGCATGAACTTTTTTTGACGATGATAGACGGAAAAGTGGCACAAGTTTTAACAGATACGCCTTCTAGTTCCACATGTA